TGTACAAATCCTTGATCTTGCTGGAAATCCCGTAGCTCTACCAACTTCTACCGGATTCTACCAACTTTTTCCTGGTAGAGCCGGTAGAGGAAAGTAGAATCTACCCTTTTCAGTAGAATTTTTTTTAAATTAACACCTCTACCGAAAGAAGTAGTTTCTACCCAAACCTGTAGATCAAAAACGAACGCCCCCCCCCCCCCCCCCCCAAGTCATGCAACACAGTACAGAATGATTATAATCATAGTACACTGCATGCAATTTTTGTTGCGCAATCTACAATGTACATGTAGCTGCACTTTCACAAAAGCTCCTACCACGTAGATTCTACTACAGACAGTACTGTTGCTCACTTTGGTCGTTTGGATGCTATTCTCCACGGTGTATTGGACCAATATTGGTCGATTTTAGTACTATTACCAAAGGTCTTGTAATAAAAATTCTTTCGGTCCTTTTTATTTTTTCCACCTCTCGCATACGTTTTTTGATTTTCGGGTGACGGGAAACATAGAAATAAAAACCTGTGGCCATATGACCAGATGACTCCCGATCCCTGCCTAGCAGCCACGTCGTTACGTCAGTCGATAGCCCTACTAACTAACGCACATCTACTCTGGCTCTGCAGTAACCGGTAACCATGGTAACTGTCAGGGTTATCGGCCTGTTGCAGTGTTGGTGTTCACACTATCACACAGTCAGTGGCAGTGCAGTGCTAGCGCAGACCAATGCCACTCTTTTATCTGCATGATTGTATAAGCTTTGTTGCAACCAGGGAGTCGTATACTCCCTGGTTGCAACCCAGTCAGAAATTGAAAAGCTTATGCTGTAGACTTGTAAGTACTTGTACTTGTAGTCTACGACTCTCTGGTCAGAACTGTTTTGTCCTACATGTAGCGTAATTTCTAATGATACTGCTAGTACCCAGTGGTATCAGTACAGTCAGTAGTCTTTATGCTGCACCCTCGCTTGTATTATTTTCATGATAAAACTGTCGGACTGGCTTTCTCTCAAACCTTTAGCTTGCAGAATAAAGAGACAGCTTCTTGCTGTCCTGGCGCTAGCCTTTGTGAAACATCTTTCAGTTTATAGACTACTTTACCGCAGAAGCCTTCAAATTTTCTGTCAGTACCGTTACTGAGAGCCTTTGACGGCAGTAGCAGAAATGGCCTTTTTGTGAAGAATTGTTAGTCGCCACGAAAAGAGCTCGTGTTGAAATTACCCTTTTCACTTTCTTTCTCCCAGTCAAGGAAGGCCTCTAGCGCGCAGGCTATTTCAACAGACTCTGGCATTACGTAGCAGACGTGGACGTAGTTATGCACCATGCCTTGGGGCTCAGTAGTTCCTGCCAAGCCGTTGGCCGCTATGCTTCGCTACGTATGGTCACCCAAGACTGACATTATCAATTACACGTCTCGATACTCGATAGGAAACAATCATACTACTATTGCAAGTCTCAATAGCCGAGGGTCAGCTGCAGAGTGGAGGAACCTGTCTGGAATACGCTAGTAATTGGAAGACCAGTATGTTGTAATGCAGATGAGAATCCTCCATGCCTGGAGTACAGCTATCATCAGCACTATCAAGGTTGCAGACGCGCTGAAGAAATTTGGAGGCAACGGTGAGATCGGATAGGCAAAAGTGACCTTACAAGATTCTCTGCCAAGTTCCTGGCTTTCAGATGATGCGTATCTCGTGTGCAAGACCAGTGTAACGCAACAGGTCTTTACGTCCTAGGTAGGAGATTTGTTTAGTAAACTTACAGGTGGTGCTAGCAAAGTAGACAGTCATTGGATGACATAGTTCCTTTTTGTTTTGACTCGGATGGAGAGCCAATGATTAAAATTAAGAAGAAAGGACGTACCGGTTCCTGCACGCGTTTTAGGGCAGTACCGAGGAATCCAGCCCGTGCCGCGATAGCGATAAGGGCTGGATGAACAGAGGTACTACCCGGGGAGACCTGAACAAATATCGTCTTGGAAAAAAAATATCGATATTTACGGACGGCCCCTAACTTGTAAACAATTGGTCCTTTCTACTTTTAAAATTTTGGTCACAATTTGACAAAGTTTTGGGTATTCTAGACGAAATGCATTCCAGGTGAAAATTACTAGGCAACGGAATCCTGATAATGCTACTACATGTGTTGTCAATGAGTTGATAAAGATTCAACGTCTGTAACGACCAAATATCAACGGACATGGCCGAATTTACGATTTCACTCAAAGTTGGTTCCTTTTATCTCTGGGTGAACCTCGTTCACCCAATATGACAGTTTGGTACAGAGACCAAGAGTCCTCAGATATTGGGCAAAATCAAAGAAATCTACAAAACTACGCACTGAAACAACTTGAAACAAGTTAGGTACAAGAACTAGGAGTCACTGCTGCTCACAACAACACAGCGCAGTCAAACCAACTATGTTTGCACACAGATCCAAGTTATCTAGTAATGTTAACCCTCTAACTGTCGACTGGCAACTTGCTGAGTTCCTCGAACAAATCAGCAATTCGGCCTGTCCAATGGCAGCCATAACAAAAAAAAAAAGCCATCTTCAAGGGCCAGTAGCAGTGAGGTTACTTTCCTGAAATTTGGGGTAGTCCACCACCATAGTCTACTACAACATGTCCCCAGTCGCGAACAAAATGGCCTTGAATAAAGCTATCCACTAAAATTCCTTTGGGGAAATAATCAAATTTCGAACTCTCCAACGACCATGCTCCACGCGAATTCAACCTCTCGGCAGATCAGCAAATACGGAGCGCTTCCGTATTTCGCTCGGCTACCACAACTGAGAGATCATGGGGAATAATCTTGCAGAAACTCAAATGAAAAGAAATGACCAAAATGTTACATGTTATCCGTAGTTTCTGTCCAACACATTACTTCAGAAATACAAGCAAGATGTTGTTAAGTCAACAGGTAGCACAATACTGACTGATGTGATACTGACATTCAGCAACCTGAGCTTTAAAAACGTTGTTGAACCTTCTGACTACACAACATCTTACTTGTAACTGTTAGTGTCAGACACAAACTCCAAAACTCGAATGAATTCGCCACAAAACATAACTTGCTGGACAACAGCCCAACGTGACGAGAAAGAAGACCTGGTCAACATCAACAAATCGGCAAGGACTGCAACAGTAGCGCGGGATGGTCCAGAAATTTCACGTGTACGTGTACTGGGCAGCTAGTGCACAAGAGTTTCACATGTGAACCGATGTGAAGCTATACACGTAGGAAATACACTACATGGTAGTTCTACACTTGAGGATTTCAAGCTTGTCTTACAGCTGGAAACCAAGGATCGAAAAATGTACTCTTCGGGGGCAGCCCTCTGGGGCCTGAAAAATGCCATGATGTATCCGCGCATGCATACCACATAACTGTTACGTGTGCTCATAACAACCTAACAGAAATTTCGAACTGTTTGGTGTGAGCATGGCTTGCAGGTGAAAACTCACGTGCAGTAGAAGCCCAGTACACAGGAAATGATTCCTGGGCAATCTTATGCTACTGCTGCAGTCCTTCCTGATTTGTTGCAATGGACCAGGACTTCTTTCTCGTCACGTTGTGCTGTTGTTCAGCAAGTGAACACTTTCTGGCGGCTTCATTGGAGTTTTTGCGAAAACAAGAATTATTCTCAATGTGTCTCAGTCCTGGTAACCGAGCGAAAAGGCATATGGTGGCGCTTCGTGTGTGATTTTCTGCCGTGACGTAGGATTCGGCTAATGCATGGCCGTTAGAGAGTTCAAAATTTGACTATTTTCCAAGTGATTTTAAGTGGATAACTTCATTCAAGGCCACCTGTTGGCGCTTGGGGAGATGTAGCAGACTATGCGACGTTATGGCCGCCCTTGGACAGGCTGACTTGATTGATTTGTTCGAGGGACTCAGCAAGTCGCTAGTCTCCAAATGGATGGCTGAACATTACTAGGTAACTTGGATCTGTGCGCGAACATAGTTGGTTTGACTGCGCTGTGTTGTTGTGAGCAGCAGTGACTCCTAGTTCTTGTACCTAACTTGTTTCAAGTTGTTTCAGTGCGTAGTTTTGTAGATTTCTTTGATTTTGCCCAATATCTGAGGACTCTTGGTCTCTGTACCAAACTGTCATATTGGGTGAACGAGGTTCACCCAGAGATAAAAGGAACCAACTTTGAGTGAAATCGTAAATTCGGCCATGTCCGTTGATATTTGGTCGTTACAGACGTTGAATCTTTATCAACTCATTGACAACACATGTAGTAGCATTATCAGGATTCCGTTGCCTAGTAATTTTCACCTGGAATGCATTTTTTTTTGTTGTCAGTGGTTACTCATTGTTCGTGTACCTATTTTCAGTGCATACTTCAGTCGATTTTTTTCATTTTGTCCAATATCCGAAGATATTGGTCCGTGTAGCACAATGTACCGTATTTTCCAGAGTATATGGCGCACTGGAATATAAGCCGCACCCCTACCCCACCCCCACCCCATTCTTTGGCCACGCAATACAGACAACTATCCTATTTACCACCGTTAGTTTGATCACCAGAGTATAAGCTGCACCCTTTTTGGGGGTGAATTTGAGTGTTCATTGTGTGGCTTATACTCCGGAACAATACGGTAATGTACGCTAACTCACTAAGTTATATACACTTGGAGAGTTATATACACGTAATCTCTGTCTCTGACATTGAGCACTCTCTGCGGCTCGGGGATTAACGGATTTACACTCAGCGTGTTGTATACACTTGGAGCTGTACTTGCACTGCACTGTATACTGGGCCTGTGCTCTTGCTCCTGGCTTTTTACATGGAGGTCAGCTAGAAAATGGGACAAGTGTATAGCAACACTTGTTGGTATTGGTTGTTGTGCTGCTGTACTGCTGTACTGGTTGGTATTGGTTGTTGTGCTGCTGTACTGCTGTGCTGGTTGATATTGGTTGTTGTGCTGCTGTACTGCTGTAATGGTTGGTATTGGTTGTTGTGCTGCTGTACTGCTGTAATGGTTGGTATTGGTTGTTGTGCTGCTGTACTGCTGTAATGGTTGGTATTGGTTGTTGTACTGCTGTACTGCTGTAATGGTTGGTATTGGTTGTTGTGCTGCTGTACTGCTGTAATGGTTGGTATTGGTTGTTGTGCTGTTGTGCTGCTCCGCTGAGGTGGTCTGGCTGCTTTGATCCGTCTTGTGAATCGTCATGGCAAGAAGAACGTTTCTCATCACAATGTTGTCGGTAGAGATGACTTGCAGCAGGGCAATACTGCCAGCGTTGGTGATAGTCTAAATCAGCGCAGCCACAGGAAATCAAGTAAAAAATCACAGCGAACAACAGTTATGTCAGCCGCTGCCTTCTCACCGTTGCGTATGCAATTGACTAGCAGATCTAACAACTTCATCAGCCGATCATTACCTATGCGATTGCGATCACTCAGGTAGCCATGGAGTATAGCGTGTACTGTAGCGTATGTGTGTGTGTGTGGGTGTGTGTGTGTGTGTGTGTGTGTGTGTGTCCCATATGGTGCAGTGGTATGTGCAGCGATTTCCAATCGATAGGTTGCGGGTTCGATTCCCGACGATTATGGTCACACACGTCTTTCTTCTCTTTCTAAGACTCTTCCTGACTTTTCTTTCATTCTCCTGGGTGGTTACCAACAGCCAGTGCATGCCGGAGTATGTGGTGTGATGTGTGTGCGGGAAAAAAAAATGAAAAGACCAAAAATAGGAATTCACTGGCCAGAAAAAGTCACTTCAAATAGCTGTATGGTGTAGACCAGGCTGAATAGTGACGGTCAATTCTTCAGCCTTGCAAGCTGTTGAATGGTGCAATCCCAGCACAAGTTGCTATGGCATCTGCCGTAGCATTGCTATCATCGCCTCCGGCGATGGGCGTCAAAGGTCAAGGTCAAAGGTGTGTGTGTGTGTGCTCGTGTTATGGGGGGGGGGGGGGGGGAGTGTGCTTGTAAAATATGCAGTTCCTTTGCGTGAATTTCCCCGACTTCCTCTGTGGCGGTATGCAGTCTGTTGAGATGACAAGCATGGACACAGACAGACACAAGAATGGACGCAGACAGACACAAGCATGGACGCAGACAGACACAGGCATGGACGCAGACAGACACAAGCATGGACACAGGCAAACACAAGCATGGACACACAAGCATTACACACACACACATGTATTTGTACTTCATGTTTCTTGTATTTATACAATGATTTTCACACCCCCCCCCCCCCCCCCCCGAAAATGTACAAACATCTTGTTTTGACCAAAAATCTTTGGATCCAGTCAACCCTGTTCCCGGGGGCAGGCAGCTCAGATCCAAACCCAATGGATCTGGATCCAGATCCGACCAATTGGTTCATCACAGGTTGGGTGGACCCTTCGGATCTGGGTCTGGATTCTAATGCTCTTTTATGGTGTATGGTTTATGGTTTATGTCTCCTGTAATAGGATTTCTGTCATTGTTATTTGCCTCAATATGATTTCTGTCATTGTTGTGTGCCTCAATATGATTGCTGTCATTGTTGTGTGCCTCAATATGATTTCTGTCACTGTTGTGTGCCTCAATATGATTGCTGTCATTGTTGTGTGCCTCAATATGATTGCTGTCATTGTTGTGTGCCTCAATATTATTGCTGTCATTGTTGTTGGTACTAATTTGTATCTACAGAGTCAAACTATGATGAGGCAGTGTTGTGGACCTCGCCTTGGGCATGCTGACTTGGTACAAGAAAGACAAGTGTCGGATATGGAGACACGCTGGATGACATCACAGAAGAAAATACTTTGCCGCTCCATCTACGGGGACGAGAACCTCTTCAATCCTTTCCCAAGTAAGAACCTCGAATAGTGCATGTGCTATTTGAGTCAGTTTTCTTACAATAATCTTCCTACTTTAAAGCAGAACATTTCGGTGGTGTTTTATTTCCGGTAACTTCGCTGCCGACAATTTTACCTAAAATACAACGCAACCAAAAATGTCGATTCTAGTACTAGTACACTTACCTGAAAACCGGTTTACCAAAAATTTCCTCCCACCGAACCGCCGATTTTGGAGATTACCGAAAAAATCACACCACCAAAAAATTCTGCTTTGACAGTATTTGTGTGTGTGTGTGTGCTTGTGGTTGCTATTCTGTGAGATGTTGAAGGTCTTCAATCCTGCTCTTTTCTGAGTGTGATCCTATTGTGTGCGGTGTTCCTATGCTGAGTGTGATCCTATTGTGTGCGGTGTTCCTATGCTGAGTGTGATCCTATTGTGTGCGGTGTTTCTATGCTGTGTGTGATCCTATTGTGTGTGGTGTTCCTATGCTGTGTGTGATCCTATTGTGTGTGGTGTTCCTGTGCTGAGTGTGATCCTATCATGTGCGGTGTTCCTGTGCTGTGTGTGGCTTTTCTTGCCCATTTGTCAAGCAAAACCGGACTGCAAACAACACTGTGCAACCCAGTGCTCAGGTAAGCAACACTGCTCTTGACAGAGAAACACTACCCCCCCCCCCCCCACACACACACACTCATACACACACGCGCGCATGCAATCATTTTTGGACCTTTGGATGCCCATTGCTCCATTGAATGATAGCATCAGGAGTTGCAGTATTTCCTGTGGCAAGTTAGATCGTTGGGCCGACGGAAGTCCCTGCCACAGCCGCAAATGAACACTCTAGGCTTTGGCACAGCCGGCCGGGGACGATTGCACATGAGGCGCCAGTCTCGTCTGTCCTGCGCCAAGTCGCACCAGTCACCTGTCACGCACTGAGCACTCAGATCAGCAGCGGCGATGTCCCTCCATACACACACACACACACACACACACGTATACATACACATATACATACATACACACACACGTACACACACACACGTACACATATACGTATACGTATACGCAAACACACACATATACCCACACACAGCACTGCACTGCACGGTGGAAGGGCAGCACTGTGCCCACTAAAGCAAAAGACTCCGCACACATGAGTGACACTGCACACACCAAAGCAACACTCCGCACGTCGAAGCAACATTGCATGTAGTAGAGCACACTAGGACAACACCATACACAGCAAAGCAACACCACACACAACAAAGCAACACCACACACAACAAAGCAACACCACACACAACAAAGCAACACCACACACAGCAAAGCAACACCACACACAGCAAAGCAACACCACACACAGCAAAGCAACACCACACACAACAAAGCAACACCACACACAACAAAGCAACACCACACACAGCAAAGCAACACCACACACAGCAAAGCAACACCACACACAACAAAGCAACACCACACACAACAAAGCAACACCACACACAACAAAGCAACACCACACACAGCAAAGCAACACCACACACAGCAAAGCAACACCACACACAACAAAGCAACACCACACACAACAAAGCAACACCACACACAACAAAGCAACACCACACACAACAAAGCAACACCACACACAGCAAAGCAACACCACACACAGCAAAGCAACACCACACACAACAAAGCAACACCACACACAACAAAGCAACACCACACACAACAAAGCAACACCACACACAGCAAAGCAACACCACACACAACAAAGCAACACCACACACAACAAAGCAACACAGCATAGTAGCATTGGACTGAGCAGAGCAACGCTAGACATGGCAAGAAACTCTAGCACAGCACGCGGCAACACTAGACACAGCAAAGCAACACCGCACACAGCACACTAGGGCAACACTACACCCAGCAAAGCAACACCACACACAGCAAAGCAACACCGCACACAGCAAAGCAACACCGCACACAGCAAAGCAACACCACACACAACAAAGCAACACCGCACACAGCAAAGCAACACCGCACACAGCACACTAGGGCAACACTACACCCAGCAAAGCAACACCACACACAGCAAAGCAACACCGCACACAGCACACTAGGGCAACACCACACACAGCAAAGCAACACCACACACAGCAAAGCAACACCGCACACAGCACACTAGGGCAACACTACACCCAGCAAAGCAACACCACACACGTGTACAGTATTACTCTGCTGTGTCCAGTGTCACCCTGCTGTGTCTAGTGTTGCCGCGTGCTGTGCTAGAGTTTCTTGCCATGTCTAGCGTTGCTCTGCTCAGTCCAATGCTACTATGTTGTGTCCAATGCTGCTCTGCTCTGTCCAATCCACGCAATCTCAACAAATGGCCGTACTATTGCTCTTCAGTTTGATGCAAATGTGTGTGCAGTGTAGAGTTCTATGGCTATGCTGTGTACAGTGTTGCTATGCTGTGAACAGTGTTGCTATGCTGTGAACAGTGTTGCTATGCTGTGTACAGTGTTGCTATGCTGTGTACAGTGTTGCTATGCTGTGTACAGTGTTGCTATGCTGTGTACAGTGTTGCTATGCTGTGAACAGTGTTGCTATGCTGTGTACAGTGTTGCTATGCTGTGTACAGTGTTGCTATGCTGTGTACAGTGTTGCTATGCTGTGTACAGTGTTGCTATGCTGTGTACAGTGTTGCTATGCAGTGTACAGTGTTGCTACATGTATGCTGTGTACAGTGTTGCTATGCTGTGTACAGTGTTGCTATGCTGTGTACAGTGTTGCTATGCTGTGTACAGTGTTGCTATGCTGTATACAGTGTTGCTATGCTGTGTACAGTGTTGCTATGCAGTGTACAGTGTTGCTATGCTGTATACAGTGTTGCTATGCTGTGAACAGTGTTGCTATGTTGTGTACAGTGTTGCTATGCTGTGTACAGTGTTGCTATGCTGTGTACAGTGTTGCTATGCTGTGTACAGTGTTCCTATGCTGTGTACAGTGTTGCTATGCTGTGTACAGTGTTGCTATGCTGTGAACAGTGTTGCTATGCTGTGTACAGTGTTGCTATGCTGTGTACAGTGTTGCTATGCTGTGTACAGTGTTGCTATGCTGTGTACAGTGTTGCTATGCTGTGTACAGTGTTGCTATGCTGTGTGCAGTGTTGCTATGCTGTGTACAGTGTTGCTATGCTGTGTACAGTGTTGCTATGCTGTGTACAGTGTTGCTATGCTGTGTACAGTGTTGCTATGCTGTATACAGTGTTGCTATGCTGTGTACAGTGTTGCTATGCAGTGTACAGTGTTGCTATGCTGTATACAGTGTTGCTATGCTGTGAACAGTGTTGATATGTTGTGTACAGTGTTGCTATGCTGTGTACAGTGTTGCTATGCTGTGTGCAGTGTTGCTATGCAGTGAACAGTGTTGCTATGCTGTATACAGTGTTGCTATGCTGTGTACAGTGTTGCTATGCTGTGTACAGTGTTGCTATGCTGTGTACAGTGTTGCTATGCTGTGTACAGCGTTGCTAAGCTGTGTACAGTGTTGCTATGCTGTGTACAGTGTTGCTATGCTTTGTGCAGTGTTGCTATGCAGTGTACGGTGTTGCTATGCTGTGTACGGTGTTGCTATGCTGTGTACAATGTAGCTATGCTGTGTACAGTGTTGCTATGCTGTGTGCAGTGTTGCTATGCAGTGTACAGTGTTGCTATGCTGTGTACAGTGTTGCTATGCTGTGTACAGTGTTGCTATGCAGTGTACGGTGTTGCTATGCTGTATACAGTGTTGCTATGCAGTGTACAGTGTTGCTATGCTGTGTGCAGTGTTGCTATGCTGTGTACAATGTTGCTATGCTGTGTGCAGTGTTGTGTTAACATCAACAGAACACTGTTAACAGGCCAGAGCAACACTTTACCCAGCAAAGCAGCACTGTACATGGCAGGTCAACACCCCAAACATCAGAGCAAAAAGAACATACAGTCAACTTCGCTTATAAGGACACTCGGCGGGGCATCAAAAAAGTGTCCTTATTCGCGAAGTGTTGTTATACAGTAAAACCTGTAACTAAAGACCACCGTGACTAACGACCAGCCTGCTACTACAGACCACCGTGACTAACGACCAGCCTGCTACTACAGACCACCGTGACTACAGACCACCGTGACTAACGACCAGCCTGCTACTACAGACCACCGTGACTAACGACCAGCCTGCTACTACAGACCACCGTGACTAACGACCAGCCTGGTACTACCGACCACTTCGCCAGGCACGGACGGTCTCATATTCAAAATGCACTGTGACTAGCGACTACCTGCTGAACGCGACCAGTGACCGCCTTTTCTTGCCCCAAAGACGATTATTCCCGTAGCTATGCAGAAGACGTTACTTCAGTAACGTCTGGCGCTAGCCAGGGTCCACACAGCTTTAATTTGGTGTTTGTTTGTTTGTTTGTTTGTTTGTGTCACGGCTGGAGCTATCCCGTATCTGTCCCGTATCTGTGACTACAAAGGCTCTACAGGATTGTACATAACAGCTGTCCACAATATTTGCGGGCTCCTGTATCTGTCCCGTACCGTACCAATATTTGTCGTATTATGTATACGACTCCCTGATGTAGAGGGAGATTTGGAAAGAAATAGGGAGACGAGGAGGAAATTAAATTAGAATAGACGCCGAATAGGTGATAGGATGCGTCAGCATAAACATACTTTGGAAGAGAGATCCCGTCGTCTCCAAAATAAGCGTGAACGAGCGATTCAGCGCCGGTCACAGGAAACGTCGGAAGAGAGATCCCGTCGACTCCAGAACGCCCGTGATCGGCAGAGTCCGCCGGTCCCAGGCAACGTCAGGACAGAAATCCCGTTCAGTCCAGAACGCCCGTGATCGGCACAGTCTAAGCCGGTCCCAGGAAACGTCAGGACAGACATCCCGTCGAGTCCAGAACGCCCGTGATCGGCAGAGTCAGCGCCGGTCCCAGTAAACGTCAGGACAGACATCCCGTCGACGCGCAGAAAAACTAAATCTGCAGCCTCTTTTGCCGTCGGACAGGATACGTATTTTAGGAGACTGTAAAGTTGTGTAATGTCCAATTTTCGATTTTCGACGTGAGCAGCAGGTCACTCGCGTTGATTTTTCGACGTGCGAGCCAAATAACGCGAGCTGAACTTTCGCATCGCAGACCACGCGCAGAAAAACTAAATCTGCAGCCTCTTTTGCCGTCGGACAGGATACGTATTTTAAGAGACTGTAAAGTTATGTAATGTGCTCCACAGGCAACCATGCATTCGGCGGCGTCATTGGCTCAACAGGTCAATGTACATGTATTACAGTAAGTATCGTTTATAAAGTGACCGGATATAATGATATACCGGTTATAGTGATAGAACACGTCAAAATCAAAATCAAATCTGAAAAAATACAGCTAAAATATCACTATATACACTATTATCGGCTATACCGATATATCGCTTATTGTGATGGCCTTCAGGAAGCAAACCATATCAAATGTACAGGAAAATATCGCATATAATGATCAAGAGTGATCTTTCTGCATGCTCTTGTCCGTTTCTGGCTGTGTTGCCTCTCACGATGATGTTGCCAACTCACGTACACAGCCACTCATGTCTATTTCTGGCTCTACGCAACTCGTTGGACACCGAGTAGATCTACGATCTACGTGAGCACGGATCCAGCTCAGGCTTTTTTTGGAGAACACGCTGAAGAAGCAGCCATGCCACATGATGTATCGAAGTTCTAGTACATGTACAGTCTGTACTCGTACTGCACTGCCATGCACTGCTCTGTGTCATGCACCGGTACGCGGTACACAGTCCGCGGAGCATGCATGCACTTTCAGCATGCTTTTTCCAGCGTGTACGCATCATTTCATGTGCAGTCATGTGCCATGTGTCGGTCAAACATGCAAATCGGCTATAGTGATGCACCGGATATAGTGATACATTTTCGAAAATCAAAGGGGCACGTTATATCCGATATTTACTGTACTACAAAAAGGCCAGAAAATCCGATTACTGTAATAAAATCAACTAATTTTCGCTGGCGATTTAATTTCGCTGATTTCGCCGCTTGGTACCAACCGGCCAAAGTAAATCGTAGGCCAAAGTTTGTCATATAGGCAAATGATGCATGATTGAGCAATGGATGCATGTGAGAGCAAAAATACCTATCGATACCATCAAGAGAATGAGTATATATGCGAAGTGTATCGGGGAATGCATTCAGTGCAGTAACATGTTGTGTGGATTTGTGTGCGAGGCCGAAATCCCACTAGCAGGCTGGCTGGGACGCCTGTCGAACAGCCCGGGAATCGCATGTAGGCCGATAGCATAATAATTATAACGTATATACAGTCATGTAGATGTATAGCAGGGAGTCATATTATGTAAACGACTCCCTGCTGTATGGGGAGATTTTCTGGAAAGAAATACGAAGTAGGGAGACGAGTAAATGCAATCAGAATGGATGTTAGTTGCCGTCAGTATAATAATAAGAAGAAGAAGAACGCCCGTGATCGGCAGAGTCAGCGCCGGTCCCAGGAAACGTCAGGACAGACATCCCGTCGACTCCAGAACGCCCGTGATCGGCAGAGTCAGCGCCGGTCCCATAGCTATGCAGAAGACGTTACTTCAGTATCTCATTTAAACGTTTTTGCAATACAATCAAAATCCACGTCCACTGATGTCGACCGAGGTAGCTCTCTTGCTACTGTGAAATAGTGACATGTACCCAGCTAACGTCTCTGCTTCGTTCAGGGAATTCAGAATAGGAAGTCTGCTGTACCACCCGCTCTTTTCTTTTTACTTTTAAAAGCGATTATTAGCGATAACATGGAAATTTGTTCCTTGGCTCACCATCTGAGTTCTTAAAGCTATTTTTCATTTTCTGCTGCCCCCGGTTATTTCTTTTATTAGTATTATTTTCTTTGCCTTCGCTTTCTTGTTAGTGGGCAACTTGCCCGTTAGAATCTGCGAAGTAAAATAAACAACAACAACAACAACAACAACAACAACAACAACAACAACAACAATGATGTAGCTAATCAAAGGAAAAAGCATTTCCATCTGTTCTAACAACATGCACGATGAGCTAGGCAACAAAGCATAGCGAAGGGCCCTGAGCTTCCAAGCTCTCTCGTTGACCCGTAACTAGCGACCGCGATGTACGAAATCAAATGTTGCTCGAAGCTCCTTCTTGAAAATTTGCTGATTTTCCATGGTCCCGAAAGGACTCACTTCTACCGGGAACGTTTGACTCCTGGTTTCAGAAGTAGCAGCTGAATTTGATGTCTCCAAAAAGTAATCTTCTCCCTCTGTCTCTCTCCGTCTCTCTCTCTCTCTCCCTCCAAGTGTTGTTTGACCTGAAATAAGAATGGCATTGCGCAAGTCCTGGGGAATCGTATTAGCTGCATTTTGACATACATATCATATGCGGGATCCATATATGGTCGCGCAGTGCAAACCTCTAACTAAAGACCACCTGCCACTAAAGACCGCTTTTGCTGGCACCAAGGGCAAGGGGTGGTCGTTAGTCACAGATTTTACTGTATGTATTAATGGGATGGGACTTTGCTCTGGGTATGGAAATGCTGTCGTTATCCGCGAATTGCGTTATATCCGCAGTCGTTATTAGCGAAGTTGACTGTAGTTGAATAACCATACTGCACACACCCAGGGGCGTCGGAAGGTATTTTATTGTGGTACGGTGAGCCATCTGAAGTACAATTTACTCGTGGGGGAGGGATGGCTGAGCCGAAAATTTTGGAATTTTAGATCCTAGATCAGTGTATTTTGTTGATTCACGGGGTATCTGGGTCAAAATGTGGTACAGTCAATACCGTAGTGACCGTACCGTGTGCGACGCCCCTGACACACCAGAGCAAAAACGCTGAACACACCATTGCGACACGGAACACAGCGCAAGGTGGCGGAATTATACACATGTCCAATGTTGCTCTGGATTGATTGAGCAGCTCTGCTTCTTACAATTAGGGGTGAAACGGTTAGAGATAGGTTAACCGGTTATGTAACCGTTAAGAATACAGGAGCAGTTAACCGTTTGCCTAAGGGTTAACCGTTTATTTTTTCACTGTACACTGTACATAATATTTGTAAATTTCTGAGCTATATTCCCGAGAGAATAGGTGCATACACTATGAGTGCTGTGCACAATGGATGCATGACGGGTATCTCCCTCATATCCAGGGTTGCTCCCCATATTAGCGATGCTTGCGTATGCTCATGATGAGTTTAAGTTGAATAAATGACAAGGCGACGGTGAAGTCTGAAGCCCAATGGATCATACAGAATATTAAAATATTTTGAACCAGCTCTGGAACACTGACCAAGTGATGATATGCATTCACTACGTCATATTGTTATGATTGTTTTGGCAGTGCGTTGGCTCATGGTCCCATGTACAATACTGGTTCATGTAAAGTTGGGTCATGGTCCCATGTACAATAATGGTTCATGTAAAAAGGTTACTTCATGTACCATGATGTACAGTAGGTCTCTTATAGGTTATAGCCGTTTGGTTAACCATTGAGATTCCGCTTAACCGCTAACCTGAAAACTGTAAACGCTTCAGCCCTACTTAAAATATCGATTTCCTTGTGAGTGTTGCTCTCCTGTGAGAGTTTCTGGATTTCATTTCTATGCTTTCTGAAGTGTGGTGCTATTGTGTGTGGCGTTGCTATTGTGTGTGGTGCTGCTATGCTGTGTGTGGTGTTGCTATGCTGTGTGCTGTTGTTCTTCACTCGCAGCATGTTTTCAAGCAACATTCAACTGATAACTCTGAGCAGCAACGCAGAACTCAGGTGAGCAATGCTGATTAAGACAGAGAAAGCAATACAACCCCCCCCCCCCCACACACACACACACGCACACACACACACACACGCTGGACCTCAGTTCCGGCATCGATCCGTCTTGCTGCTTCACCCAAGTTAATTTTGTATCGCAATCCTAGATTGTGTAGGGTACCCCGTAAGGAGACCATAGGTCTGTGGGGACTGCCCTAGAGAAATATGAATAAAATACTACACACACACACACACACACACACACACATCAACACACACACACACACACACACACACACACATCAACGCTGGACAGGAGCTGGGCAACATTGCACACACTAGATTCTCACTCCGTACACTAGAGCAACGCTGTTCACACCAAAGCAACACTCCGCACGTCGGAGCAACACCTGACACGTCAGCGCAACACTGCAGCAACTAGCAAAGCCACACTACTCGCATGTACAGTAATGCTCTGCTATCTCCAGGGTTGCCGTGCCGTTCCCAGGGTTGCTCTGCTGTTCCCAGGGTTGCTCTGCTGTTCCCAGGGTTGCTCTGCTGTTCCCAGGGTTGCTCTGCTGTTCCCAGGGTTGCTCTGCTGTTCCCAGGGTTGCTGTGCCGTTCCCAGGGTTGCTCTGCTGTTCCCAGGGTTGCTGTGCCGTTCCCAGGGTTGCTCTGCTGTTCCCAGGGTTGCTCTGCTGTTCCCAGGGTTGCTCTGCTGTTCTCAGGGTTGCTGTGCCGTTCCCAGGGTTGCTGTGCTGTTCCCAGGGTTGCTGTGCTGTTCCCAGGGTTGCTCTGCCGTTCCCAGGGTTGCTCTGCCGTTCCCAGGGTTGCTCTGCCGTTCCCAGGGTTGCTCTGCCGTTCCCAGGGTTGCTCTGCCGTTCCCAGGGTTGCTCTGCCGATCCCAGGGTTGCTCTGCCGTTCCCAGGGTTGCTCTGCCGTTCCCAGGGTTGCTCTGCCGTTCCCAGGGTTGCTCTGCTGTTCCCAGGGCTGGTCTGCTGTTCCCAGGGTTGCTCTGCTGTTCCCAGGGTTGCTGTTCCCAGGGTTGCTCTGCCTTTCCCAGGGTTACACTGCCGTTCCCAGGGCTGCTCTGCTGTTCCCAGGGTTGCTCTGCCGTTCCCAGGGTTGCTCTGCCGTTCCCAGGGTTGCTCTGCCGTTCCCAGGGTTGCTCTGCCGTTACCAGGGTTGCTCTGCCGTTCCCAGGGTTGTTCTGCCGTTCCCAGGGTTGCTCTGCCGTTCCCAGGGTTGCTCTGCCGTTCCCAGGGTTGTTCTGCTGTTCCCAGGGTTGCTCTGCCGTTCCCAGGGTTGCTCTGCCGTTCCCAGGGTTGCTCTGCCGTTCCCAGGGCTGCTCTGCTGTTCCCAGGGTTGCTCTGCTGTTCCCAGGGTTGCTGTTCCCAGGGTTGCTCTGCCGTTCCCAGGGTTACACTGCCGTTCCCAGGGCTGCTCTGCTGTTCCCAGGGTTGCTCTGCCGTTCCCAGAGTTGCTCTGCCGTTCCCAGGGTTGCTCTGCCGTTCCCAGGGTTGCTCTGCCGTTCCCAGGGTTGCTCTGCTGTTTCAAGGGTTGCTCTGCTGTTCCCAGGGTTGCTCTGCCGTTCCCAGGGTTGCTCTGCTGTTCCCAGGGTTGCTCTGCCGTTCCCAGGGTTGCTCTGCTGTTCCCAGGGTTGCTCTGCCGTTCCCAGGGTTGCTCTGCTGTTCCCAGGGTTACTCTGCCGTTCCCAGGACTGCTCTGCTGTTCCCAGGGTTGCTCTGCCGTTCCCAGGGTTGCTCTGCTGTTCCCAGGGTTGCTCTGCCGTTCCCAGGGTTGCTCTGCCGTTCCCAGGGTTGCTCTGCTGTTCTCAGGGTTGCTCTGCCGTTCCCAGGACTGCTCTGCCGTTCCCAGGGCTGCTCTGCCGTTCCCAGGGTTGCTCTGCCGTTCCCAGGGTTGCTCTGCCGTTCCCAGGATTGCTCTGCCGTTCCCAGGGTTGCTCTGCCGTTCCCAGGACTGCTCTGCTGTTCCCAGGGCTGCTCTGCCGTTCCCAGGGTTGCTCTGCTGTTCCCAGGGTTGCTCTGCCGTTCCCAGGGTTGCTCTGCCGTTCCCAGGGTTGCTCTGCTGTTCCCAGGGTTGCTCTGCCGTTCCCAGGACTGCTCTGCTGTTCCCAGGGTTGCTCTGCCGTTCCCAGGGTTGCTCTGGCGTTCCCAGGGTTGCTCTGCTGTTCCCAGGGTTGCTCAGCCGTTCCCAGGACTGCTCTGCTGTTCCCAGGGCTGCTCTGCCGTTCCCAGGGTTGCTCTGCCGTTCCCAGGGTTGCTCTGCCGTTCCCAGGGTTGCTCTGCCGTTCCCAGGGTTCCTCTGCTGTTCCCAGGGTTGCTCTGCCGTTCCCAGGACTGCTCTGCTGTTCCCAGGGTTGCTCTGCCGTTCCCAGGACTGCTCTGCTGTTCCCAGGGTTGCTCTGCTATTTCCAGGGTTGCTTTGCTGTTCCCAGGGTTGCTCTGGTGCTTGAACTGTGTGTGTGTGTGTGTGTGTGTGTCTACAAGCACAGTTATGTACAAGTTGCTGAGCAATATTGTAGAAACCAGAGCAACCCTGTAGACAAGTGAGCAATCCTTTGTGCAGCTGAGCAATACTGCATACAGCAGACAAACCCTGCGCACACCACATTAACGCATCACATGGGATACCAACACTGCACACAGCATAGCAATACTGCACTGAACCAGTGGCTTACAAATGTGTTGCATGTCCTATTATTGAAACAAGTTTTATCTTTAGTTTCAGTGCTTTGTGCTTGTCAACTTAATGACTATCATCAGTGGGCGAAGTAGGACATGTAGCGCAGGTCCTCCCTCGTTCGTAGATAATCTTTCGGCCATCAAAACAATTTTCTTACATGTAAGGTTAATCTTGTAACAGGACTTGCAACTAAAGATTAAAGAAGCAGGATTTGGGGTAGAGGGGACGGCTCGATACCGGGACGCTTTGACAGCCAAATTTGTATAGACCCAAACCGATCATCAGCGTTCATTTTTCACTCAAAATATGTTTGTGGAAGGAAACTGGCATGTTGAAGTTTGCTCTGGGGCCAGAGTCAATCGAACTGAGCCACTCCTTTGTGTTGACCCATTGCCTCCAAGTTGCCCAATTTTTCGCTTCAAGAAAGTTCAAATCAGAGGTGGCTCCAAACCGGACACGTTTTAGAGTGCACGTCAAATTCACTCTGGGTCTGAAATTAGGTAATTGCTATCGCTCCACGACGGCCAGTACAGAGTAACAACAAGCCTTGTGTGTGCTTCCATTAGTTTTGATTTGTATGCGGTGCTTTATTGGCGAGAGGCGAGCCACTGCTTACCTGCGACGAGAAGTTGATTTTCGAAAGTCGTAAGACTCAAGTCGCAGTGCGAAGCAACACGTCAAAAACTCACCTGCTTGATATGGTGCTTCTGGTCATCGCAGAGCCATGAAATTTTGGCTCGGAGTATAACACATCGTAGTCTCACTGTGACATATGTTTTCTAATCAAAATACCAAGAGCGAAAGTGAATATTGAGTCCGTTCCGGTTTGCAACCTGTGTCCTATTTGAAACCGTCCCCTCTACCCTCAATACAACATAAATCATCGGCACTTCAACTCGTTATAAGAAAATCTCCAACACTGCTGTTCCTTAGATGCAAAAATTCGTCCATATCTATGAATACATACTGTAGATAGAATACTTTGTGCCTTTCTGCTCTATCCTATGTGTATTGGGACCTTGGTCATGCATGATGGCCAATATTATCAATGAGGGTTTGGCACTCCGGGGGCATGGGCCAATTGTCGTGGTAACGAATTTTATGTCCTAAAAAACTATGTTGTAGCCGGGACCTGTAAACAGTTGTACAGACCAGTTTTGCCAGGGGATTTCAGGGGATTTCAGATTTCTATTTACTAACGGTGCTTATGTTCTAACCATACTCGTTATAACGAGGGAGTACTGCATGTTAAATGTGTGTGTAGATGTGTAGGTGTGTAGGTGTGTAGGTGAACTAAAACTATTATTCCCGTAGCTATGCAGAAGACATTACTTCAGTAACGTCTGGCGCTAGCCAGGGTCCACACAGCTTTAATTTGGTATTTGTGTGTGTGTTTGTTTGTTTGTTTGTTTGTGTCACGCCTGGCGCTATCCGTATCTGACGGCAAAAAAGCATAGGATGTTATAAAATTTTCAATTCTCCTATTTTTTTTTCAGGCATATGCTGGGATTCGAACCCGCACTATCGCCCTATATGCATTCCCCCATACACTTTGCATTCATACCCATTCTTCCAAGTTGCTTCACGCTATTATCTTGCGTTTGAAAGCCCTATTTCAATATTGCGGGCAGCTGTATGTGGCCAGCTGTGTTTGATGGTACGGTACGGTACGGGAGACGGTGTCGTATTACCCTCGATCGTACCTGTCCCGTACCTATCCCCTACCGTACCGTGCCATCAAAGACGGCTGGCCACAACGCATATTCAAATAGGGCTTTCAAATGCAAGATCACAATGTGAAACAACTTGGAAGAATGGGTATGAATGCGAAGTGTATGGGGGAATGCATGTAGGGCGATAGTGCGGGTTCGAATCCCAGGATATGCCTTAAAAAAAATAGGAGATTTGAAAAATTTATAACATCCTATGCTTTTTTCCCGTCAGATCACAATGTGAAACAACTTGGAAGGATTAGTATGTATGCGAAGTGTATCGGGGGATGCATGCAGGGCGCGTGATAGTGCGGGTTCGAATCCCAGGTTATGTCTTAAAAAAAGAGGATTTTTTTTAAAGAATTTATAACATCCCTATGCAAATTTTTTTGTCTAGGTCATCAAGGCAAAAAACCATAGCGTAGGGCCCCGAGCTTCCAAGCTCTCTCGTTACATGACTGTACTTTCAATGTGCTCGGTGTGTGTACATGTGTGCGTGCATGTGTGTGTGCGTGCATGTGTGCATGTGTGTGTGCGTGCATGTGTGCGTGCGTGCATGTGTGTGTGTGTGTGAGTGCGTGTGTGTGTGTGTGCATATGTTTGTACATCTAGTCACTGGCACATGCGCAGTGAAAGCAGCTGATAGTTTCTATACTCAGTCTCATTAGGAGATGTATGCTGGGTTACCCTCCAAGTGACGTCCACATGAGCACACCGAAAACACAGCAAGGATCAACTTGTGCCTGTTGTTATTCGGCATGAGCAGCTAAGCGCTAGCGTTGATAATTCATAGGAATGGCTGAACAAGTCCCATGATTATCCATTCCTGGCTACGACCAGTAGTGAGGCGCCTTGAACAGATGAAGTGCGTCAGTGCAGCTATCGATGGCCACAAATCATTGCTTACAACAAGCGTTCACAGCAGCAATGGTGTAATTATGGCTTCAATTACCTTCAATCTCTATGCTGACAAATCATGTATTATAAAATTCGGGACATGGTAGATGGCGTATGCATGACTGCATCTGGTATTCTGGAACAATGTATTACCCTCGTAATATGGAACACTGTATTACCCTGGTCCACTTCACTCTTCTTCTCCTAAGTTTAGTACTACCCGTCTTGAATTTTCCAAGGACCATGTTGAATGAGGTTGTCTGATTTTATGTTCCTGTTCAATTCTACACTCTAAGTGGTGTTGTTTCCGGTATCTATGGGTTTACCTCACCTACCCATCCACTTTGTTAACTTACCTCTTTCCTGCATGTCTTCTTCTATGATTAAGTCGATGATCATGTTGCTTCCTTTTCCATTTTACATTCTATTATCCTATTGCTGGAATATTCTTTAAGGTTTCTCACTTCACTTAATTTAATATTTCCTTTGCTCTGCGGTAGTTCACAAAAGCTTTATGAATTTCCCTTTCTTCTAATGCATACATGCATACATGTATTTCCTTTATTCTACCCTGTCAATTTTCTTGTTATCAGTCGCAACTTTTACCCTTTTTCATCATAATCAACAACTTAAAAATTATTATTCAGTGCAAGTTTCTATGGGAACCTGCCATGTGTAGCAGTAGCCTAGCTGGTACCTGTAGGGGAGCTGGCAGCTGCTGTAGCCGGGGGGGGTAGCAAGCTATATATGGCAGCAAGCAAACGTTGCTGCTTAAAAATATGCATGGTTGCCATGGCAATGTGTATGGTCGTCATGGCAACGGCCAGATAAGTGTATGGTTGCCATGGCAACGGCCAAATGAGTATGGTTGCCATGGCAACGGCAAATTTTAGCCGAAAAATGGGCTGGTTGCCATGGCAACCGGCAAATGAATGGAAAAAATGGGCTTGTTACCATGGAAACCGCAGAAATCCATGCCATATTTGGACGTTTCCCTTACAAACATTCTATATTAGGCAACGAAACTATTTTTCTCGGCTTTTTCTGAGCCTGTCACCTTGTTTCAGTTGTTTCAGCCAGTACAGCCCATTCATCACAGCCTCAAACCTTGCTACAAGCAACAACTGCAACGCGTTGGGTCAGAGAGAAGCAATCACGTATACGTGTACATGTATCTGATTGAAGTCCATACTAACTGTCCATACTAACAAGTTGTTATGTAGGCAGTCATGAACAAAATCAATGCATATCAAAGTCTAGCGATACTATAGTACTGGCAACAAACTGAAACGCATATGGAAAGTTTCCACATGCATAGCACAGCAGCACTTTGAGCAGGGTATAGTAAGGTATGCAGAAACAGGCACTGTGAGTATCAGCAAAAATGTGATTAAATCATGAGAGGGCAGAAATTCCAGTATCTAGCTAAACCTTGTGAATCTAGCTGAGCTACCTAAGATTCATCTTTGTCAGTAAATACATGTACAGTCAACTTTGCGAATAACGACATTCGGCGGGGCATCAGAAAAGTGTCCTTATTCGCGAAGTGTCGTTATATCCGAAGTCCCATTTGAATGTATGTGAACCCATATTTTGTATAGTATGACATGCATATCGAAATGAAGCTCTTTTCATGCTCTACGTCAATTTGTACTTTACTTTCGTATTGCAATTGAAAGGAACAATAAAGTCAATATCCAAGGGAAATATATTGAAAAATTAACCTTTTGGAGCCATCTGCAGGGACATGTTCATGTACATGTATGAAGATTAATGTGCAATCATGTACAACATAGGTGTGCTGATCATTCCAACTATTTTGAAGAAAAGAAAAAAGAAAAAGCACCCCCCCCCCCCCCCCCCTGGCTGTATCTTCTTGTACATGTATGTGTGCCTTATCCATCGCCACGGGTTCTGGTACTTCTGCATGACACTTGACAGGTACTTGAAATAGCTGTCAAAAAGCCAGAAAGTCGTTATTCAAGCAGTGAATATGACCTCGGGGCACTAAAATCATGTCGCTATTCGCGAATTGTCGTTATTCAGATAGTCGTTATATCCGAAGTTAAATGTATACAGTCAGATGGGACTTTGCTCTGGGCATGGAAATGCTGTCGTTATTCGCGAATTGTCGTTATATCCGAAGTCGTTATTAGCGAAGTTGACTGTATCCCTGCAGCCATATTTCTATCTCATGAAAACACTACAAAGCAAAGTTGATTATTGACCCGACCGAAAACTCGGACCAAAATTGCAAAATAGGAAACAAACACTTTGAAGTAAAATAGCCTAACAACCACAAGGAGCAAAGCCAGCTTTCAAAATCAACAATGGTCATCTTCCTCAGCACTCTACTCTACTTGATCATTCTACAACCATTTTATACCGGAATGCTCCAGAGTATTTGCAATACGGATATAGCACAACTCACGGCAACTTTCTGCTCCAGCTTCTGGTGGTGTTCTTTGACTACTTGACAGACTTGAACTGGCATTGTGTGTAGAGGAAATGGACTGTGGAAGACAAGGTTGTTCTCAAGAGGAACCTCGCGCCACACAGCAGACCATATCGAATCATACACACACGCACACCTACACACACACACACACACGCGCGCGTGCGCCCACGCGCACACACACACACACACACACACACACACACGCACGCACGCACGCACACACACACACACACACACACACACAAACATATAATTATATGTATAGTATATTGCACGGTGACTGCCACCACAAGGACTAGAACCAGGGACCTTCACTCATTGTAAAGCACCATTCGTAGCAGCAATAACCACATTGACAGCAATAACAGCCATACCGTACTTGCGCGATTAGTGCCCCTGGGGCACAATTTTTTCAATGTCGATCACAGATGGGGCACCAATCAAGAGAGGGCACAATTTTTTCAATGCTGGTACATTTGAATCATCCAGCATAAAAACAATGCAAAGCGTAGCCTAAAGTTAACTGTAAACTATCTCGACTCAACAGAAATGTCAACAAAATCTGTGATTTTGATCCTGAACCCACCAGTGCAATGACATGGACAAGGACATTAGCAAAAGAACACCAAATTTGCAAATGCGCTTGGTTACCAGCTCAGGGGGGGGGGGGGGCATTATTCAAGAGAGGGTTTTATTTTTTCACCGGCTCTCAGAGACTGGGGCACTATTCAAGAGAGGCTCTAATCGCGCGAGTACGGTAAGAGCAACAACAGGAATAATAGCATAGGCATCAAAAACACGACCAACAACATCGGCAGCATCAACAGCATGAACAGCATAGGCATCAAGAGCCGCTACAATGCCGCCAGTAAAACCAGTAGTATCCATCGGCTGCAACCGCAGAGCGACGGTAACACATTCAGCACCCCTAATATCACCAGAAATCACAACAGCAACAGCAGTAACATCAGCAACAACCACAAGAGCTACAACAGAGGCGCATCAGCAGTGGGGATGACCAGTTAACCTTTCAAAAGAAATCCCTGTCTTCCAGTGATCCGTTGACTTAGTCATACTGCACCACTTCCACATGCTTGTGAAATATTACCCATCTGAATCAATACACAAGTATAGAAAATGAATGTGCAAGTGTTAGCAATCATATACTTCAAGATACTCTGATCATGACAGCATCAACACTATCACAAGCAACAATGCATGTACACCATGGCCTGCATTAACAGGTTCAACAGCATCCGAGCAGCAAAACCACCATTAACGACATCCGCAGCAGACATGGTTTCAACAGCATTGGCAGCGACAACACCATGAACAACACCAGGACAAACAAAAGCTTCAACACTAACTTGTTAGTAGCGACAGTAGCACCGACAGCATCAACAGTTTCTACAGCTTTTACATCAGCTATAACAGGAACATCATCAACAACCGCAGCAGCTTCAACAGCGGTGCAGAAGCAATGGGCATAACAAGTTTACCTTTCAAAAGATAGTCCCATCCACCAGTGTTCTGTGGACTACATCACATTGCAGTACTTCGAGATGCTTGTGAAATATTCCGGAACTGGAGAAACAAATAGGTACAGCAAAAGAGTGTGCATGTTTTAGTCATGATATACTTCAACATTCACTCGGATCATGAGAGCAGAAACACAGCCGACAACAATACCAGGATCACAACATTGGGCATCAAAAACTAAATCATTGCTATTGTCAACAAGAACAGCATCAGCAACAACAGTAGCAACAACAGCATCAATAACAACAGTAGCAACAACAGCATCAACAACAACAGCTTCAATGGCAACGATAGCAACAACCGCATCAACAACAGCAGTAGCAACAACAGCATCAACAACAACGGCAACAACAACAGCATCAACAACAACGGCAGCAACAACAGCATCAATAACAACGGCAGCAAAAACAGCATCAACAACAACGGCAGCAACAACAGCATCAACAACAACGACACCAACAACAGCTTCAATGACAACGGTAGCAACAACCGCATCAACAACAGCATCAACAACAACGGTAGCACCAACAGCATCAACAACAACAGCAACAACAACAGCATCAACAACAATGACACCAACAACAGCATCAACAACAACAGAAGCAACAACAGCATCAACAACAACGGTAGCAACAACAGCATCAATAACAACGGTAGCAACAACAGCAGCAACAACAACAGCGGTGGCAACAACAGCATCAACAACAACAGCAGCAACAACAGCATCAATAACAGCATCAATAACAACGGTAGCAACAACACCATCAACAACAACAGCAGCAACAACAGCATCAATAACAACGGCAGCAACAACAGCATCAACAACAATGACACCAACAACAGCTTCAATGACAACGGTAGCAACAACAGCATCAACAACAACAGCAACAACAACACCATCAACAACAATGACACCAACAACAGCATCAACAACAACAGAAGCAACAACAGCATCAACAACAATGACACCAACAACAGCTTCAATGACAACGCTAGCAACAACCGCATCCACAACAACAGTAGCAACAACAGCATCAACAACAACAGCAACAACAACAGCATCAACAACAATGACACCAACAACAGCATCAACAACAACAAAAGCAACAACGGCATCAACAACAACGGTAGCAACAACAGCATCAATAACAAAGGTAGCAACAACAGCAGCAACAACAGCAGCAACAACAGCGGTGGCAACAACAGCATCAACAACAACAGCATCAATAACAACGGCAGCAACAACAGCATCAACAACAACAGTAGCAACAACAGCATAAACAACAATGACACCAACAACAGCTTCAATGACAATGGTAGCAACAACAGCATCAATAACGGTAGCAACAACAGCATCAATGACAACGGTAGCAACAACAGCATCAACAACAACAGTAGGAACAACAGCATCAACAACAACCGTAGCAATTGCAGTATGAACAGCATCGGCAGCCACAACACCATCAACATCACTCTTGCCAATAAGAGAATCAACACCATCTTCAGCTACAGCACTGATCAATCACATCCGATGGCGTGTGAGCCAAGAAGACGCCGGGCACTGTGCAGTTCTAGCCAAGAAGACGCCGGGCACTGTGCAGTTCTAGCCAAGAAGACGCCGGCCACTGTGCCAAGAAGACGCCGGCCACTGTGCCAAGAAGACGCCGGGCACTGTGCAGTTCTAGCCAAGAAGACGCCGGGCACTGTGCAGTTCTAGCCAAGAAGACGCCGGCCACTGTGCCAAGAAGACGCCGGGCACTGTGCAGTTCTAGCCAAGAAGACGCCGGCCACTGTGCCAAGAAGACGCCGGTCACTGTGCAGTTCTAGCCAAGAAGACGCCGGTCACTGTGCAGTTCTAGCCAAGAAGACGCCGGGCACTGTGCAGTTCTAGCCAAGAAGACGCCGGGCACTGTGCAGATCTAGACCTGCAAACACTGGACTGTTCACTGGTGTTGAGAAGAAACTTGACTTCTCGATCGGATATCAGGGAGCAGCACTTTACAACAGCATCACAACTATCGACAGGCACAACAACGCCGACACCATCAGAAACAGTATCAATACCACCAGTAGCAAAAACAGCATAAGCACAACGGCAGCAGCACCACCATCAAACTTATGGGAAACTATAACAACATCAACTCCATCAGAAGCAATTACAGCATCAAAGCCATGCGCAGAGATAACAGCATTTTAAACAGTTTCCGCAGCAACAGCAGCATCAACAAAACGGGACACAACAATAGCATCAACACCTGTAGAAGCTCTAGCACCAACACCACCCACAATATCAACAGAAACCACAAGAGCTACAACACAGGCGCATCAGCAGTGGGGATGACCAGTTTACCTTTCAAAAGAAATCCCTGTCTTCCAGTGATCCATACATGTATATTACATGCCTTATATGGACAGGATTCAGATTTAAGATCCCCATTTCGACAGTGTTCAGCATCGGTACCACGGTGGCTGGGTGGTAAGGGGAAGTGTTCAGGATGTGGTGGGTGTGGGTTCGAATCTGTTCGTTTCTTTCTTTCAAATTTTTCAATTATTGAAATTGGAGAGAAATTTTCTAAGTCCAACCAGGCAATAACTGGTAATATCGGCCCGTTTGAGCGGGCAGATATAGAGATTTGTAGCCCGGTGAGGAAGGTCGCTGATTGGCTGTAGATGAGACAACGGTCACGTGGCATGTAATATTACGCGATATTGAACTAAAGAAATAGTACTGTATTTGATGACTCACTGATACGTCAACACAAAGTAACTCTTTGTTGTGGCATTTTCAACTTTTCAACTGAAATGATTTTGTATTTTTTCGTGGTTGCCATGTCAATTGCTATGACAATGTCGTGCCGGATCTTTTTTTAGTCTCCGTTTTCAGTACTGTATACATCCTCATGGGCTTTATCAGACTTTTTTTTATAGGGTTTAGAGGAAATATTTTCTTTTTCCTGTTTTGATAATGCTAGCTAATCAATATACATTGTGATTTAGATGTTGACATTTCGGCAAGTTTCAGCAGCAGCCCAAAGGTCAGCTCTGTGGAGCAAGGGAGAAACTTGTTGCGGGCCTTATGGCATATTATTTCCATAAGGCCCTCGCTACCATGCGATAAACATTAGACATCCTTCAAGATTCTCTGATTATGATAGCATACTGTAGCATCAACACTATCACAAGACACAACGCATCTAAACCATCGCATTTACTTTGCAGCAACAGTTTCAATAGCATCAGCAGCAAACCCCAGAACCCCACCATCAAGAACATCCGCACCAATAATGGTATCAACAGCATCGGCAGCGACAACAACACCACCAGCGACACCAGGACAAACAAAAGCTTCGGCACTAGTAGCGACTGCAGCACCGACAGCATCAACAGTATGTACAGCTTTTGGATCAGCTTTTGGATCAGCTATGGCAGCAACATCAGCAACAACCGCAACAGCTGCAACAGCGGTGCAGAAGCAATGGGCATAACCAGTTTACCTTTCAAAAGATATTCCAATCCACCAGTGATCTGTGGACTAGATCACATTGCAGTACTTCGAGATGCTTGTGAAATATTCCGGAACTGGAGTAACAAATAGGTACAGCAAAAGAGTGTGCATGTTTTAGTCATGATATACTTCAACATTCACTATGATCATGAGAGCAGAAACACAGCCGACAACAATACCAGGATCACAACATTGGGCATCAAAAACTAAATCATTGCTATTGGCAACAACAATAGCATCAAAAACAACGTTACCATAACACACATGAACTCCGTTGGCAGTGACAACAGTATCAACACCATCGGCTGCCACAATACCATCAACACCACCAGTTGCTTTTACAGCATCAACAAAATCGTTACCAATAACACAATCAACACAATCGTTACCAATAACACAATCAACACAATCGTTACCAATAACAGAATCAACACAATCGTTACCAATAACACAATCAACACAACCGTTACCAATAACACAATCAACACAATCCTTACCAATAACACAATCAACACAACCGTTACCAATAACACAATCAACACAATCGTTACCAATAACACAATCAACACCATCTTCCCCTGCAGCACTGATCAATGAAATTCGATCGCCCGGCTCTGTGTAGTTCTAGACCTGCGAACACTGGACTCCTCACTGGTGCAGGAAATAAACTTCATTCACTCGATCGGATTTTAATCAGCAGCACTTTACAACTGCATCAAAACTATCAGCAGGCACAACAACATCAACATCATCGCCATCAATAACAGTACTAACGTGACCACCAGTAGCAAAAACAGCATCAGCACCAACGGCACCAAAAACTGCATCCGCATCCATGGCACAACTAACAGCAAAAGCAGCCTCAAAACTATCGGCACCATCGGCATTACTAACAGTGCCAACAGCATCAACAGTTTCGGTGACAACAGCAGCATCAACACCATTGCCTGCATTACCACAATCAACACCATCGTCACCAATAGCAACAGCAACATCACTGGCTACTACAACAGCATCAAAACTTTTGAAACCAACAACAGCATCAACACCATTGCCAGCAATATCAGCATCAACACCAACGGCAGCAGCAGCAGTACCATCACAACTATCACCAACGTTAACACCATCACTCCATCAGAAGTAATTACAGCATCAAAGCCATCCACAAAAATAACACCAATAACAGTTTCCGCAGCAACAGCAGCGTCAACGAACTGGGCAACAACAATAGCATCAACACCTGTAGAAGCTCTAGCACCAACACCACCCACAATATCAACAGAATTTGCAACAGAATTTGCAACTTTAACAGCAGTAACATCAGCAACAACCACAAGAGCTACAACAGAGGCGCATCAGCAGTGGGGATGACAAGTTTACCTTTCAAAAGAAATCCCTGTCTTCCAGTGATCCGTTGATTTAGTCATACTGCAGCACTTCCAGATGCTTGTGAAATATTCCGGATCTGAATCAATACACAGGTACAGTAACTGAGTGTGCATGTGTTAGCAATCATATACTTCAAGATACTCTGATCATGACAGCATCAACACTATCACAAGCAACAATGCACCTACACCATGGCCTGCATTGACAGTTGCAACAGTATCCGAGCAGCAAACCCACCATGAACACAATCGGCACCAATATTCGCATCAACACTATCGGAAGCGACAACACCATCAACAACGCTCGTACCAACAAAAGGAGCATGGAACAAGAGTATTAATAGGAGCAGCATGAGTCACAACAGCATCAGTCAGTACACCAAGAGCGGCGACAGAAGCAACAATACCAACACATGAACGAAATACACTAACACCAGCATGAACAGCACCAGTGGCGGTAGTGGCAGAAGAACCATCAACACCAGCGTGAACGATTACTGTAGCAGCAACAGTAGTAGCAGCAGGAATAGCAGCCTGAATTGTGGTAGCATAAAAACACGTTAACCCACGGACGTGCATTTAGGACCGCAAGCATGCACAGCTCAAGACTCTGAGTCTTAGACGAAGGGTGGGAGAGAGAGAGAGAAAGCAACGGCCCAAAAAGGAAACATTTCTTGTCTCAGTAATGGACCAGCAGTACTGGAGTCAGCCGTCTAGCGCAGTGCAGTTTGACACCGATAGCAAAAGACAACCACGATGCAGATTTTAGGAATAAGCACGAGGCCTAATTGCCATACATCATGAGACCACCACACAACACGTGCCCACGAGGACTAATCTGGCTTTGCTGCTCAAAGCCTGCAGTGCAGTTTCAGTGGCAGCAACAGCGGCACCAACACCAACATCAACAGCTATAGCAGTAGCCACCCCAACAGCAACTTCAACAGCAATGGAAGCACAACGTCATCAGCAGCACCAGCAATGGCAGTAGCAGGAATGACAAAGGCATAGCACTACCTTCACTCACACCCACAGCAACATCAACAACTTCAACAGCATGAAGAGCTACTAAAGAATCTACATTATCAGCATGATTGTGCTGCAACCGATAGCATCAAAGGCAGCAGTCGCAGCACCAGCAGTAACAGCATCAATAGCAGCAGCACCACCAGCAGCAACAGCAACAGCATCAATAGCAGCAGCAGCACCAGCAGCAACAGCAGTAACAGCAGCAACCATTGCAGCTGACGAATGACATCAACACCAGCAACAGCTTCAACACCAGCAACAGCTTCAACACCAGCAACAGCTTCAACACCAGCAACAGCTTCAACACCAGCAACAGCTTCAACACCAGCAACAGCTTCAACACCAGCAACAGCTTCAACACCAGCAACAGCTTCAACACCAGCAACAGCTTCAACACCAGCAACAGCTTCAACACCAGCAACAGCTTCAACACCAGCAACAGCTTCAACACCAGCAACAGCTTCAACACCAGCAACAGCTTCAACACCAGCAACAGCTTCAACACCAGCAACAGCTTCAACACCAGCAACAGCTTCAACACCAGCAACAGCTTCAACACCAGCAACAGCTTCAACACCAGCAACAGCTTCAACACCAGCAACAGCTTCAACACCAGCAACAGCTTCAACACCAGCAACAGCTTCAACACCAGCAACAGCTTCAACACCAGCAACAGCTTCAACACCAGCAACAGCTTCAACACCAGCAACAGCTTCAACACCAGCAACAGCTTCAACACCAGCAGCAGCTTCAACACCAGCAACAGCTTCAACACCAGCAACAGCTTCAACACCAGCAACAGCTTGACCACCAGCAACAGCTTCAACACCAGCAACAGCTTCAACACCAGCAACAGCTTCAACACCAGCAACAGCTTCAACACCAGCAACAGCTTCAACACCAGCAACAGCTTCAACACCAGCAACAGCTTCAACACCAGCAACAGCTTCAACACCAGCAACAGCTTCAACACCAGCAACAGCTTCAACACCAGCAACAGCTTCAACACCAGCAACAGCTTCAACACCAGCAACAGCTTCAACACCAGCAACAGCTTGAACACCAGCAACAGCACAAAACATCAACGACAGTCATAATCATTAAAAGCATGAACAGCAACAATTACAGTTATGTTGAACAATTACAGTAATGTTGAACAATTACAGTAATGTTGGCAAAATCAACAATAGCATCTAAAGCAGGGAGAGAAGCATCAATATTACTACCAGCAGCAACCCCAACATCAACAGCATCAATAATCACACTGATAACCACAACGTCAACAGCATCAACAATCACACTGATATCCACAACATCAACAGCATCAACAATCACACTGATAACCACAACATCAACAGCATCAACAATCACACTGATAACCACAACATCAACAGCATCAAACCAGTTACAGCAGCAGCGCAAAAAACACAAGCAGCATCGTCAGTAGCAACAGCAGCACTAGCACCTGGAGCAGCAGTAGCAGCAGCAGCAGCAACAGCTGCAGGAGCAATGCAGCAGCAGTTGGTGTAACCAGTTTACCTTTCAAATAACATCTCCATCCACCAATGATCTGTTGTCTGGCAGATACTGCACTACTTCCAGATACATGTGAAATATCCCTGATCAGTATCAACAAGCAGAGTGCGGCAAATCAGTATCAACAGTATCATCAGCATTTTTGTTATCAACAACAACAACAACAACAACAACAACAACAACAACAACAACAACAACAACAACAACAACAACAACAACAACAACAACAACAACAACAACAACAACAACAACAACAGTGGCAACAGCTGCAGCAGCAGCACCAGCTGCAGGAAGATTAACAGTAGCAGCAGCACCAGCAGGAGAATTAACAGTAGCAGCAGCAGCAACACCAGCTGCAGGAGGAAAAACAGTAGCAGCAGCAAAACCAGTACCAGCAGCAGCAGCAGCAGTAATGCTGAAGCAGTTTACCTTTCCTGACACTGTCCCTATCCATCAACGTACTGTTGACTGGCAGATATTGCAGTATTTCAAGATGCAGTTATGGGATATCCCTGATCTGTATCAACAAACCAGTACAGCAAATGAGAGTGTGCATGCGTTGGTATCAAGTATTTCAAGATTATACTCTAGGCGTGACAATTCTTGTGCACACAGTACTACACATACCACATGGATTGATCCCCTAATATCGCAGCAAGACACACATATCACTCAAAATAGCTGAAACCACACCTTGAAGTGTGTAGAGCAACACCATGTCAGACGGGATACTTGCCGTGGAACTGTGACTTGCAAGATGCTTTCTTTGTTGTAGAGTAGGGAATAAAATGCATGCCATAAATGTATCACTACAAGTAGATACTTGTGTCTGGAACTTTTTCGAAGTAAAAAGTAAATTTCAGCACCCTTTGTGTCCTTACTCCCCCTTCCATGAGGTGTTATTCATTAGGTTCAGGGTGTTGACAATGGGAAAAGTCTGAAGAAACAATGATTGTCACCACGAGGACTCAAACCAGGGACTCTCGCCTAATGCCGAGTAATGGCTAGCCACGCTCTACCACTAAGCTATGGTGTAGTCGTCATCCAAGCAGCGACTTTTCCACATTTTCTTCAGGCTTCGAAATTCACGCTTTCTGTGGATCTGCACAGGCTGGTGGAATGCAGCTCTCAGTGACCCACACACTTAACATTACAAACTAGCACACGGGGAGCCCCAATACATCAAAATAATAAATTACCTTACTGCTCGAATAGACGTGCCCAACAACAAAACCGCTTTACTCTGCCCCTTTATTTATCAAGCAGCTATCAACTTTTCCTCCAGGGACACCAAGCGTACTCGTAATACCAATCTTCTTTATTATCCGATTCTCTTTTCCAACTCCCTCACCTAATGAATATTAGATACATTGGGGCTCCATGCATACTAGTTTGTGCGTCAAGTGTGTGGGTACAGTGAGGGCTGGGTCCCACCATGTACCAGCCTGTGTATTGCCACAGGAAGTGTGTGGGTACAGTGAGGGCTGCGCCCCACCATGTACCAGCCTGTGTATTGCCACAGGAAGTGTGTTTCAAAGTCTGAAGAAAATGTTGAACAGTCTCTGCTGGGGTGACAGCTACACCATAGCCCAGTGGCATAGCTGGCCTCAAGCCAAGGTGCCTGGTTCGAGTCCTGGTGGTCAAAGTCAATTTTTCTTCAGACTTGTTCCCTTTTCAACACCTTCAACTAATGAATCTCTATTATCTGGTGAAATTTCAATGGAAGAGATCACATTTTGGCAGGCACTGCAGGATTTTTTATTTTTGGTTGGTCACAATTCGGTTTAGCTTACTAGTAGCTTCCCTCTCTTTGTATTTTACGTAACTACGAGCCTCCCAAGTTGGGTGGTCTATTGCTTCGCGTCGTCGAGTTGTAGTTGGACTTGTACACTGTATGTCCAATGGTTTTGCTAGTCTCGTTGTAATCCTGAAAAATTTGGAATTTTTGTTTGCATGGGACTTACATGTAGCTGGTGCACACGTTTGTTTGTTCTCTGCTGAAACAATTCCTTCCCCTCATTACAACTTTTCTTGTCTGAACCTTCTAAGCTGGAAGGTTGTTGGTTCGCACTTCGTAAATGTGTTGCAGCTAGGTGTCAGAGTGGTTGAATGTCTCAGTACCCCTATCAGTTCTTGTGCCTTGAGCTGTGTTCAGAACTGGCTTGTATACATGGTACACATGCTACGTTTGTGGTTCATGCGTGATCAAACGCTCGTACACGCTTTCACAGGAAAATCAAATTGAGTAGTCTTTTAGGGTGCGCAACACAACACCATAGAGTACAAATCTAGTGAGTTCACCAGTCAAAGTGACTGCCAGTACACGCCAGTACACGCCAGTACACGCCTGATACACGCCGAAAATACGTTGCAATTTCAATGTCGGCACGTTTCTGTACCCATGACGCCCCAAAGGCCAGCAAAATACGCAATAAGGTGTGGTTTTACGCGTACACACACCAGTTGTGAACACAGCTTCAGTGTCGCTATATCAGACTGTATATGTTACATTGATGGACCGTTAATCACACCTCGTAACATGATTACAAGCAGACTTATGATCTGCACCATACACAATGCATACGCAAAGTTGTACGCGCATGATAAGACTACACTCAGCTGACTTTAAATGAACCTAAGGCTCTGAACGCATCATGAAAAAGTAGCAAAAATAAGATTGAGTGTGCTTTACACTCTGGTATGGCCCTTGGTGGGAACGTTGCTGATTGATCATCTCCTGCTGCACAATCAGACTGGCCTCATACAAAACAAAACCATGTCTCCTGCACAATCAGACTGGCCTCATACACACACAAAACCATGTCTCCTGCACAATCAGACTGGCCTCATACAAAACAAAACCATGTCTCCTGCACAATCAGACTGGCCTCATACAAAACAAAACCATGTCTCCTGCACAATCAGACTGGCCTCATACAAAACAAAACCATGTCTCCTGCACAATCAGACTGGCCTCATACAAAACAAAACCATGTCTCCTGCACAATCAGACTGGCCTCATACAAAACAAAACCATGTCTCCTGCACAATCAGACTGGCCTCATACAAAACAAAACCATGTCTCCTGCACAATCAGACTGGCCTCATACAAAACAAAACCATGTCTCCTGCACAATCAGACTGGCCTCATACAAAACAAAACCATGTCTCCTGCACAATCAGACTGGCCTCATTCAAAACAAAACCATGTCTCCTGCACAATCAGACTGGCCTCATACAAAACAAAACCATGTCTCCTGCACAATCAGACTGGCCTCATACAAAACAAAACCATGTCTCCTGCACAATCAGACTGGCCTCATACAAAACAAAACCATGTCTCCTGCACAATCAGACTGGCCTCATACAAAACAAAACCATGTCTCCTGCACAATCAGACTGGCCTCATACAAAACAAAACCATGTCTCCTGCACAATCAGACTGGCCTCATACAAAACAAAACCATGTCTCCTGCACAATCAGACTGGCCTCATACAAAACAAAACCATGTCTCCTGCACAATCAGACTGGCCTCATTCAAAACAAAACCATGTCTCTCGCAATTATTCATTAGTTGGAGGACGACAACAGAAAACGTCTGACACAGAAAAATGACTGTCACCATCGTGACTCGAACCTGCTACATTGGCCTTAGAAATATAGGCTGGTACCAGTTGGCTTTATGAATATAGGCTCTATAACTGAGGCCCCGGTCAAATTTACAACTCCGCCTAGAGTTGTGTATATAATCACTCCCTAAGCTATGCTATAGAGCATCCCCGCAGAGAGCGCCCAAAACGTCTTCAGACTTCGGTATTGCCGTATTCGCCGGAGTATAATGCACACTTGAGCGGCATAATGCACACTTGAGCATAATGCGCACTACTCCCCCCCCCCTTTTTTTTGAGCAACTTTATGGCAATTCTAGATATATCCGGAGTATAATGCGCAGCCTAGATTGTACACATCTTGCATTCGCTGTGTAGCTGGAAGAAGACACCACAAATGCAAGGACATGGTTGGAACAGGGTCAGCTCATCACAGACTCAGAGGTGGCAAACTTCGCAACAGTGATACATTGCACTACTTTTTGAAGTGCATGCATTCTGATATTCGGAGCATAGTGCGCAGCTGCGATTTGGGGCCTGAAATAGTGCATCTAATGTGCGCACTTTACTCTGGCAAATACAGTCACTAAGACTAAAATTTAATTATCTCAATGCAATACATGCCATTCTCAATCCACATACGCCAGTGTACAAACAGGCATGCACAATGGAGGCAGTAGCATACAAAATGAGGGGTAGTAGGCCGCAGCCTGAAATTATTTCTCGCCTATCTCGCTCCCCTCGGCCGGCGAGAACTATTACTGTATAGAAGAGAGTAGCAAAATGTTACGAGTTATGACCAACTGTCCACCAAAACTGATAACGAAAAAATACATAATGGTCAGATCATAGTGTCACAATAAGGCACAAACCTGACAGGGGTACTGAGACATTCGACGACATTCAACGACTGTTAGTCATAACTCGTAACATTTTGGTTCTTCCTCTTATGAATCCTATTGGCTCACCATCCGAGTTCCAACATCCATGTAATCTGGTAATAATTTACTACTGCAGTCCTGAAGATGGGTCTTGGCCGAAAATTCGGATTAATCTTTTCTTTCCGTGATTGGTGTAGGCCAGAGATCGCTTGGAGAGTGTTGTAAAGATGTAAGGATATAGTGGATGGGTACAATGGAGTCTGTGCATATTCAAGAATGTAATTTCTATAATAACAAAATAGTCGAAGTGTCAAATACAAGACTTCTTTTGAAGTGTTACGCCAAAGGAAAGAAAAGAACATTTCCCAAAAGGTATTGCTATCAGTAAATTACATCATACAGATTGGTGACGCTAATAACAATACAAAAGTCAATCGCTAACCTTTCGCTGATCTTGTTTCGCAGCTGACCTTCAGCTACCCAAATAGGATGTCGGAGAAACTCCAGTATCAGCCAGGTTCAACAGTAAACGCTACTGTGCCGTGCACTGCACGCCATCGCAGAAAATTGAAAAGACGTGTTGTCTGCAGCTAGCTAGCTGCACGCTCAAACTCAGAGTCAAAGCCTCGACCAGCCTAACACTATTACAAAACGCCATATTGTTATAGATATACCACAATTACTACGCGGTGCTATTCACTACCTCGTGCCATGATCATCTCACATCTAAACAACTACATTCTAGTACTAGCAAAAATAGTAATAAAATTGTATGATTCTAATGCGTTATGCATAATTATTATTATGCCTGGCTTGGCCGGCAGCTGCATGTGCACGTGATCGATCGTGAGCTGCTAGAAATAATAAGCTAGCTGCATGATGAAATATTAATTCAATCACGTGACTGTGAGCCAAGCAGATGAGTGCGAAGTAACCATCAAAGTCGTTTTTTATCGGTTCCTCACTTCTTTGATTTCGATTATCATGACTATCAGTCGAGTCCTTTTCATTCCGTATCTCCCAGCATCCTCTTATCGATGATCAGCGCTTTCTTTGTTCTCTTTGGTATGCAAAAGAAGAGAAACCAGCAGCTAGGGGCACAGTGCGGATGATGGAAACCTAGCTGATCCCGTTTCGCGTAGCGCGAGGAGCTGTCCGAACACTATAATTATGGTAAATGGAGGCAAGACGATAGGGAGTATTCACAACAATGACGTCTCTGGGCATGCCCTGTCAGCACACGCATACACATACACACACACACACACACACACACACACACACACACACACACTACTACTACTACTACTACTATCAATCAGCTACCCCTTGGGGTCACGCCGCCCTCCACTCAGAGAACTGAGCGCAAGGTGAGAGACACACACACACACACACACACACACACACAAACACACACACGCATACACACACACACACAAACACACCACACACACGCACACACACACGTGCGTGTTTTTGTACAAGGTCATGTAGTACTTGATTACTGCCAGGAACTGTTTACAATGGTTCCCCCAGGCGAGTGGGGGAGATATAAGAGGAATTATGGAAAGATGCTCATTGAATCCCCCAACTGCCAAAACGCCCTGAAATCCCCGAACAATGGGGTAAGGTGGGTGAGGACAAACTGCAGATTCTGCACACGCACACACACACACGCGCGTGCGCGCACACACACACACGCACACGCACAATACTATATGATAACGCCCATCCGCAGATGATGGCAGGTCCTGAAGGACCGACAGTGTTTCAGTCGCGGAAAACAGAACTTCGAGTGGGGAGTGAGGTCCTGGTGACGGGCAAAAATCTCAGCCGCAGTGGCACGCACACAAGCACACACACACACAAAGTTAAGAAACTGGGTATTCTACCGGCTGAGCAATCATCAATCATACAACATAATGATCACTGATTGCAAAGCTCAGAGTTACAACCAATACAACCGTTCTGGCTTCTGTGTGCGATAACCGTGTCCCCCCCCCCCCTTCTGTGTGTGATAGCCGTGTACCCCTCCCCCCCCCCCCCCCCTCCCTCCCATGCACACACACTGCATGTTGTGTGTAACTCCAACAATACACGATTCTATGCCAATTTAAGATAATTATACAGTCAACTTCGCTAATAACGACTGCGGATATAACGACAATTCGCGAATAACGACAGAATTTCCATGCCCAGAGCAAAGTCCCATCTAACTGTAATACATAATTATAATGAGACTTCAGGTATAACGACTCTTTGCGAATAAGGACACTTTTCTGATGCCCTGCCGAGTGTCGTTATACGCGAAGTTGACTGTATTGTTAAAACACGCATGGGCACACACACACACACACGCACATACAGCTGGACCATGTGTGTGGACACACCGGAGAAGCGACAGTTTCATATTACTACTGTACCAGTCATAATATAATTATTAGTATAATATCTATGGTGTAAATGCTACTACTGTAAATAGCAAGTTTAGCCATGATCTGTCAGCAGGATATAAGCTCCTAATTCACAAGTATATACATGTACATCCATACACGCCTGAAAATACATCATCATTCCTAAAGGCACTAAGGTGAAACCGTAACAAAACGCGTACGGAAAAAAGAACAGGTTTTCGAGGTACCCTTTGACTTTCACACTGTGCTGCGCAACAGAGCCTTCTTTTATTAGTGAGATATTCAGCATCGGTTTACCATGCTAATACAAACAAGCATCCGTTTCTTTTTTTACATAAGTGGGTATACCCAGGTTTCAACAGTGCTCAACACCACAGGGGCGGAGCGTAACCACAAAGGTCAAGAGAATGGTTTCACCAATTATATAAACATACGTTGTAACGCTGCGTTTCATGCACGTAGCTAAATGCTAAGGCAATCATCAGACAACTTTTTGACCTTTGTGGCGTTTCTTTTTTAGATGAACAAGCAATGATAGATGTAACATGAATCACTGGAAGGATTATGACCTCAAGTAGAAATAATAGAATGTCATCTTCACACCAACACATGTTACGCGTTAAAGCTGAGCAAAGAACAATAGCGCTACGAACAGTCCCTAGGCTATGGCTAACGTTTAGGGTCTTCCTCAACACACTGATTCAAACTAAGAAGAAAACAAAAGATTTTCGCTAAATGTAAAACTCTGGAACATCATGACATTGTAGTGTTGATTAACTAGAAATGATAACACTGCTTTCACAAAATCGCTTCTTGCAAACAACATAATTTATCAACATTTAAAAAACGCATGAAACGTCAAGACAGCTAACTTTCCATATCATTGTAAATAATATACTGCATGAAGTTTGTGTAACTATACTGCCGTTGAGAGCGAATTCATCTGACAGTTCACTGGGGAATTCACCAAATTCACCTGAAATTTCTCATGGAATTTCACAGGATTTGCCTGAGGATTCACCAGTAAACTCAGCAGACTGTAGAAACACAGAGTTTCTAGGTACTACTGATTACTGAGAGCTCGATAGCAGTTCTGTAAATCTGTGTAGAGTGGCTCACCATGTATCAAGCCAACACCAAGAACTGTTGCCTGCCGACCCTGCACCGCCCCAAGAGTAGTATTGCTGCTTCCATTCCTGCTGCTGCTTCCTGGGCCTGCTGCAGGCATTGTTGATGCACTCATACGGGAGCGGTCATGACGGGCAATTTCTGCATCTGCAAACGTTGCTGGCATAGTGAATTCTTGTTTCTTTTGGTGAAAACGCTTCACAATGTTGGTGAAGAATGGCCGACTACGACTGTTAGGATGCCTGTACGGTGCAACAACAACAACAAACAACAACAACAAACAACAACAACAACAACAAACAACAACAACAACAAACAACAACGACGACGACGACGACGATGACGACAACAACAAACAAGACAGAGCAGACACAGATAGAGCAGACACAGATAGAGCGGACACAGATAACTTAGAACGGACACAGATAGAGAGGAAACAGATGACTTAGAACGGACACAGATAGAGAGGAAACAGATGACTTAGAACAGACACAGATAGAGAGGAAACAGATGACTTAGAACGGACACAGATAGAGAGAAAACAGATTACTTAGAACGGACACAGATAGAGAGGAAACAGACGACAGGTGTTAGTGGGTATAAGACATGCATAGCACTACCAAACATGAACACTATTATGAAAAGCAATATAGCTGAGCATACTTCTCCACATTTCGCTCATCTCTGACAGCTTTGAACGCTCTCTGCCAGCTATTTAGACACGGTTGACACTAAAAACCCACACCGACCTACCAGCATACAAACTAAAAACTCCTTTCCAGTAGATTTGACACCTGTGATATTGCAGGATGCCCCGTACGCAATACCTGCACCCAGGCCATCTGTGATCCATATATGGTGTCCTCTTGAAATTCAATCCACTCATACCTCGGTTATCCGGGGGCGGTCCGGATTGGGCACCGCCCGTAACTTTGAAATGTCCGTACCTCTTAACCACAGACATTCCTATGGGGAAAGGCCATACCATAGGGCATATGACATCACTATTTCCACAAAGAGAGACAAAAGTGGCAATATATCCACTGAACTCGCCCAAAGGGTGCCCGGTAGACCGAAGTGCCCGCAATTTGGAGTAGTAGTATAGTAGTAGTAGTATTTATTATTTGACATGGGGAGTCCCAACAGGCATGGCCTTGTTACAGGGAACCATAGGTGAATCTTTGTGAGGTGAGCAAAAGTTCCAGCAGATTGTGCCTGACGACAGTTTGGAGGAAGAGCGTTCCACCGACCTGCCGCCGGAAAAGAAACTGAGCGCAGTCCATACCCAATATGTGCAGTAGGTAATAGTAAGGCAGCTGTATCCTGGCCTGTCCGGATAACCGAGGTATGAGTGTATGGATATAATGATGCTGTGTGCAGGATCGCATTGTCACAGGACCATTTGAGGACGACATACACTCTCCGGTGCAAACGCTTGTGAAACCATGTCAATTTGAGTTGTAAAGTGATCATTGCGCTTTCCTTGCTCTGCCACGTTTCATTGCGCCTCACTGTGTCTAGTGGCAGATCTAGTGGAGCAACATCAGGTGAAGAAAGGCAGTGAAAGACTGCAGCTCGGGCATTGAACTTACCAGCAATCAATCATTAGCTTGTACATGGCACGGGGACAGCCTGGTGGAGGTGGCAGGCGACCTTTCTCCTCGGCTATAAACTTGATGACCTAAATAGATATGTCAGATCAACAGAAGTAACAGTACTTGGTCAACATCTCCACCATACTCAAGAGATTTACACAAGCGGGCAGAAAGCAGTATACCACTATGATGGTCCATAGTTCTGCTGCCACGGCATCTGCTTATTTTACTGTGCACAACTGCACATACCAGTACAATAGTCAAAACAATAGAAGCAATTGGGACACCATGTAAAGAGTAACAGTCTACAATGTATCAGTCGGGGAAGTGAACTGCCTGAAAAGAGAAAAAACGCCAGACCCACAAGGACTCAAACCCAGGACCTTGCTTGTCCTGAGCAATGCTCTAACCACCAAGCTATGGGACCAGGCTGAACCTAGAAGGCACTGTCAAGTTTTTCACTCCAAAGGCAGCTCACAACACGTGCTACACATACTGATGGCACTTGGGTCTTTTTCCCTCCCCCAGGAGACCAACCACGATCAGTTTCTGGAACGTACTACCAGAGGTGAAACAAAGTGATAAATTTTGAAAGGATTGGGAGAACTTCAAATTCAAAGGATCAGTTGGGGAAAATGACCTTGGTTGGTCCCCTGGGGGAGGGAAAAAGACCCAAGTGCCATCAGTATGTGTGGCACGTGTTGTGAGCTACCTCTGGAGTGAAAAACTTCACATTGCCTTCTAGGTTCAGCCTGGTCCCATAGCTTGGTGGTTAGAGCATTGCTCAGGACAAGCAAGGTCCTGGGTTTGAGTCCTGGTGGGTCTAGCGGTTTTTTTCTCTTTTCAGGCAGCTCACTTCGTCTGTTACTGATCCTTTGAGTCTACAATGTATTAGGATATTAGAGGTCACATGCCTCGTACTGCTGCTCTTTTCTCTCTGAAACTCAACACTTGCAAGCCAGATATGAAAGAAAGAAAAAATCATCAATCACACCACCGGGACTCGAACCAGAGACCTTACTATTCGCGAGCAATGCTCTAACCAGCTGAGCTACAGTATGACTCTTATCCACAGTGATGGCAAATATATCCTTCTTCGATCAATCAATATCTGGCTTGCATCATACTGGCAACTCACACCACTCAAGACGGCCCTTGGCCATTCGCTTGATATCATGGGGAGCGCATTAAACTATGTCCACTGTGAGCAAACACAAATTGCAATTTCAAATTTCCCTTTCCAAGTTGCACAGTGCACAGCATCGGTCGACTTGCGACTTTGGTTCGCACGGCTCCCCTGCTCCCCAACGCCCCCCCCCCCCCCAACGAATGAGGTTCGTTTCAGGGACGACAACATACTTTTGCGACTGGGCACTAACAGTTGAGGCATAATGTCCACTCATTCATCATGACCAGCTTGAGACAGCTATGTAATTACCTTGTCTGGTGTCTTGCCAAAGAATGGCTTTTTTCCAAAGGCGAAGACCTCAAAGAGCACCACACCATAACTCCACACATCACTGGCTGAGGAAAACTTGCGGTAAAGAAGTGCCTGAGAGGAGGACAAAAACGAAAATAGAGATGCAGGTTACGTCGTGTAATAACTACTCAAGCATAAGTCAATTTCAGCAACTACCCATGAGTAATTATTTCGTGAATTAATTTCTCATCATTTTGGGACATGTTTTCTAATGGCGTTATTGGATTTGTACATAGTATTTGTGATATTTAACAAATGGCTTTGAACGAGTCGGAATATCACAGATAAATGCGGAGAGGGAATGGCAACAAGTTTATTTACGTAACTTCTAGGAGCCTGGAAAAGGGCTCCAAGGAACGCAAAAAAGTAGGCTGTAAAGTTTGGTCCCGCTTTTTGTTTCTATCTCGTGTGAGTCGTTGTGTCCTTCGGATTTGAATCTGCAGCCTCTGCTACAGAGTATAGTGCTCTCTCCATCTTGACCACTTCTTGCTTGCTACTCAATAGGCGCAGGTGCACATGAAGGGACAAGGGAGGGACTGAGAAGGGATTGGGATGGTTTGGCTTGCCGCTTATACATGCTTGCTACTCAATAGGCGCAGGTGCACATGAAGGGACAAGGGAGGGACTGAGAAGGGATTGGGATGGTTTGGCTTGCCGTTCATACACTGAAGCTTGAGAAGAAGAAATACCCAGGCCATGCAGTCGTAGAACGTTGAATTACAAACCAGTTCACGTGGGCCGCTAGAAAATGATGAGATCAAGTACCAAACACTCGCCTCTTTATCGATTTGAAGTATGAGGACCAAGCTTCGGGTGAAGTCAAAGCCAACAGACCTCTACAGTGTATTTGCCAAGGGTATAGTAGCTTTGTAGCTTTGTTATACTGTTTGATGAATGCATTCACACAAAACTAGAAAAGAAAAGACTACGTTGAACCACAGTTGTGCACCTGTTGTATACATACACCATATATACACCTGTTGTATACATACACCATATATACACCTGTTGTATACATACACCATATATACACCTGTTGTATACATACACCATATCTCTTAGCCTGTCACCAGGAAACCCTATATATAGGGTTTGACATAACGCTACACATAAAGACCCTTTATATAGGGTTAGGACCCCTAAAGAAAGGGTTTGATCAGTCCTCACAACTGGGCACACAATACACACAGTTTCACTTGTTTGTTTTTTGATATTTTCACTGCATTGCCATTGATGTTAGCAGGAGCGCTCCTACGACGTGCGCGAGTGTCGCCGCATTTGCTGCTTCCGACCCACGTGTGGATCAGCTGATGCAGAAACGGCAATGGCGGGAGCGGCAGCTGCGACAGCCGCTGTTGATGCTTCGTCTTCTTCTTCAGGAGCATCCGACGCTGCTGGAACATCGACATCATCATCCTGAGTCGACACCAGGTCGCCAGGAACATTCTCATCGCCCGAGTTCGTCTCCACTAACTCAAGTTGCTCTTCCTCCATCGTGAAAAATCAAACCCTAGATATAGGGTCTAGAAAATGTTACGACAGCGCTGCACTAAAACTAACCGTACTCGAAGAAAACAGCAACAAAATGATCACGGTCTTCAGCAAGAGAACCGTACGTACATTCTACGTATGTAGGCCCAGGCGTCTAGTTGCCATAGCAGCCAAGTGGGCTCTCAAGAGAGCTCAAGATAGAACGCGCGGCTGAAAACCCTATATATAGGGTTTGACAGGCTAAGAGATATACACCTGTTGTATACATACACCATATATACACCTGTTGTATACATACACCATATATACACCTGTTGTATACATACACCATATATACACCTGTTGTATACATACACCATATATACACATGCAAAACAAATCACTGCTATCAGGTTCAAAGGAAGAGGACATATGGATACGAGTGAAGAGTCACTCTCCATCACTGTAACCAGATACTACAGTCAGAAAGTGCAACAACTAGGCACAAAGCTGACAAAGTACTGAAACATTCGACGTCCTGACACCTAGCTTCAACACATCTCCGTAGCGCTAACCGACAGCCTTCCAACCGGGAAGGTCCAAGGTTATGGAAAGACCAAAGAGGGGAAGGTAACCGCAACGAAAACGAGCACAAGCTACAGTCCCAACGGAACAAAGAATGTCGATTGTTACTGGACTGGATTGTTACTGCACTTTCTGACTGTATATAGTATCTGGTTACAGTGATGGAGAGTGACTCTTCACTCGTATCCATATATCCTCTTCCTTTCTACATTTATTATTGCCTCAACATCCGAGTTTTAAATTGCTATCAGGTTCTGTCTTGTTTTCTCAGTTCTGTCCGCAGATTGAGTACATACACACATATACATACGCATATATACACACGCTTGTTTTGAAGCGCATATACACACACATACACATGTTTGAGAGTAGAAACTTGAAAGAACCGTATTATAGACCTATCTCCCACTGCAATGGATAATATTTCAGTACAAATACACCAGGCTGAACTCACTTCAGGAGCAGTCCACTTGAAAGGTATCTTGCCACCATGAGAATGGTAGTAAGTATCATCAGCTAGTCGACGTGACATACCAAAGTCTCCAATCTGTAGTAACAACACACAGCACGGGACACAGCAGAGGACACAGCAAAGGACACAGCAGAGGACACAGCGCACAAACAAACACATACAGGCTAGATGTCACTGTAGCCAAGACTGGAAAACAAATACCTATTTTAAAGATGTCCTTGTGCAGAAGTAGCATAGTCCCATGTCTGATTAGGTTCTCTCTCTCTCTCTCTCTCTCTCTCTCTCTCTCTCTCTCTCTCTCTCTCTCTCTCTCTCTCTCTCTCTCTCAGGACCTTGGTTTAATGAGCTAGCTGAACTCAGCACGTAGGGCTGCTTGCATACCAGCATGACAACAGAAAGGTATTCCAGCACCATTGCATGTACTTCCTCCGCGTCATTAAAATTGTCGCTTTGCACATCGCAATGTTTGTGCCTTGCTCTTCTTAGTCAGAGTGTCGGAATCGCTGTTTTCTGTGTTCAAACATTGGTGCGACCCTTCCTGCTCAATGTGTACTCGTTACTGAAGCCGTGGTGGTCTCGGAGCTCTCTTCTGCACCAAACAAATTCATCTCACTCCACACTATTTCGCCCCAGAGCGCATACATGTATCTTCATTCTGGAGTTCGTGCCGGTGGCCCACATCATTCGTGTGGGCATTTATCACGACTGCAAGCTCGGGTAGAAGAATCCTGGTATCTCTCCTGAATTCGAAATGCTGAAGTTGACGATGGCAAGAACAAAGTGTTCTCAAATTCCTCAAAAGCGCTACGTGTGGCGCATGTTGCTGTGAAGGTAGTAGGTCTGAAAACATCAGCAAAACCAGCGAAGCGCTTGCCAAAGGAAGAATGTGCGGAACTGCTTACACTATCCCGCTGGAAGGTCGACACAGTGTACTTGAAAAATGCTAGTTTGCCGTCATCGCCTGCCACCTGGAGGCATGGATCGCTTGAAAACGAAGTTTCATGACCTGAATTTGAACGCGCATCTTGTTCAGCGTCTTTTTTAGTGCTGAAGGGTCTGCCTCAAACTCTGATGAAGACATCGACCTTAGCTGCAAGTGCAGCGAAGCGGGAGGCAACAAACTAATGCTTGGTCCATCAACAATGCTCTGCTTCCATTTCTAGCTGATTTCTTTGTCTTCCTATTGGATAAAATAAAATTGAAAAAATCGCTCTTTTCCCGTTTGTCTCTTTCCCTCAAACCAGTTAATCGCGCTGGGAAGTGACAATTTTAATGACGCGGAGGAAGTACACTGTACACTGTACTTACTTTGCATATCTTGTGTGAGTCCATCATGACATTACGAGCAGCAAGGTCCTAGTTGTAATACAATAACAACACACACACACACACACACACACACACACACACACACACACACACACGCGCGCACACACACACACACACACACACACACACACACACACACACACACACACACAGAGTTATGGTGAACTTCACCTAACACTATACATGTACTTGTATTGTCCATACCTACAAATCATTCAGTGATATTCAGTGATATTCCACCTGGAAAGCAACCAAATATGCACAAAATGAATACCACAATACCCAAATAAGCACAAAATACGTACCTCACTACCATCCATTCATTGCTATCAGGTTCGGCCTCATTTTCTCTGTGCTGCGCTAATGAGTCCAGACAGGACGAAACCGTTCTGTCCGCAGATTGAGTACCGCACTACCCATGTATTCTTTTAAAGCATGCATACGTTACACCTACCACACAATGACACAATGATGCAGGTCAAGGCTGTCGATAAGATTCTGCACACAAATCTGTTCCTAAGATTCCACCAAAAATATCTTACTCTGTGTACAAACTGACGGCTCTCCAGATACGCCATTCCTTCTGCAATTTGTCTACAGTGTGCGTATAGCTTAGTGAGCATGTCATCATCAACCAACTGTCCAGGGCTGTAGACACACACAAGCAAACAGTAGAAATATGTGCAAGGATTTTTAACAAAAGCACATATGGACTATTATAGTCTATTTCAAATACGAGTACTCATTGCTGAAAGAACTACAATAATGATGCATTAGTTCACTTTCACAAATGTACTTTCCCTAGATAGCATGGAGCTGCAAGAGATGACATCACTTTCAAAACAGTTCCTCCAGCTGATCTACTTTGAATTCAAGGCCTAAATGTTCTATCAGAGAACACAGAGCTGCATCTATAAGAAAATCAGCACAAATCAAACTTTAACACGATAGTCTGACTCTGGAATTTGTTCCGGATGTACGTGGGAATAATGTGGTGCAGTTGGTGCATGGTGGATCCAAAGATCTTGCCAGGAGGGGTTGTGAAGATGCTTGGCAGATCCAGAGATGCGTAGAGAAGGGTTTGTCAATGCCGAAAGCTACAATGTCAGGGTTTTTACTATTATTAGTACTGGCACAGCCCCCGGCACTGGAAAACGTGTGCAGACCGAAATATAAAGAACAAGACACAGGGGATGTAGGGAAGACGTGTAGATGTGCTGGGAGCAACTCAACCGACCAGAGGTATCGGCGTCAGCATTGCAGCTAGGCATCAAAAATGGGGGGGGGGGATGTTGCACGAGAAGCCTGCAAAATAAACAGAAGCAAGCTACGTATACAAAATGATCCTATGCTGCATTAGACTGGAAGAATGAATTTGAAGACCCCACGGCATTGTAGAAACTATCATGGTAGAATAATGATTGTAATAACACACGGGGGTGGCAGTTTAACACACATGGGGGGGGGGGGGTGGCAGTGTAAACACACGGGGACTGGGGGGGGGGGGGGGGATGGCAGTGTAAAGTTGTAAACACACGGGGGGGGGGGGGGCAGTGTAAACACAAGGGGAGGTGGCAGTGTAAACAAACGGGCAGGGGGTGGCAATGTAAACACACGGGGTGTGGGGTGGGGTGGCAGTGTAAACACAAGGGAGGCGGTTGCAGTGTAATCACACAGGGGGGGGGATGGCAGTGTGAAGTTGTAAACACACGGGGGGTGGCGGTGTAAACAGAGGGGGGGGGGGGGGGGGCAGTATAACCACAATAGTGGGATGGCAGTGTAAACACATGGGGAAGGGGTGTGGCAGTGTAAACACACATGCTCACATGCCCACACACATTCTCAGAACTGCAAAGTTACATTAATATGGCAAAGAGCTCTCCTTCTGGCAACACTACTATCAGCACCAGCACCACCACCACCACTATCAGCACCAGCACCACCACCACCACTATCAGCACCAGCACCACCACCACCACCTGAACCAGCACCAGCACCACCAGCACCACCACGAGGCACCAGCAGTTTGCACCTGAAGCCTGGTGGATGCGGCATGGCAGGTGATACCTAACATAGCAGGCGGGTACATCAGTTAGTGATTGGCACATCGAAGATGACACAGCTACAACTTGGTTGAATTACAACATGCATTTGGCCATGTACTACCCAGCGATACAAGAATATTACCCCCCCCCCCCCCCCCCTCGGCCACGCGCATCTGCCCCTGAGATGCACGGAGTAATGCAAGACATAATTATAGCACTTACTCTGGTTGTATGGAGAGAAGATAATTGCGCAGGTCACCTCTAGCCATGTATTCCAGTACAACCAGTACCTGAACAATCAACAAAAGTATACACATACACATGCACATACGCACACACACACACACACACAAACAAAAATACGCACGCACACAAAAAATGCAAGGTCATTTGGATTCAAGGAGAAAAAAGACATGCAGCTTGGATAGGGAATGGAGGGATTTCCCGGCTCACACCAACCAAAAGATACCTACAAGTGGTACAGAGACAAGTTTAACATTTTTCTAACAAACAATTGCCAACTAGTCGGTGCATTTGTATCTCTCTTATACAGGCAGTCCGGGATCTGTCACTGACCACAAGTTCTACATGATCGTAACTCTAGAATACAATACGTTACAATGAATGGGTAAGGGCCAGAGACCTGGCATAAGACGTCACTCTTTGGCATATGACGTCACTCTTTGCACAAACATTGCCAGCACAAGAGTAGTGATATGTCCACTAAAACTCGTCCATAGTAGACCGAGGTGCCCGCAACCTTGGTAACGTTGAGGTCCAGATAAGAGAGATATGAGTGGTATAATCATTTCACCAGTAACAGTTATTCACAACCAAAGAGTGTGAGTATACTTCTGTAAATTGAGTCTCATGCACTACTGCTAGAGTGAAAACTGAACAGCTGCAGATCACACCCCAGCCAGCTAATAATGTCCTCTTTTACACGCAAGCTTTTAAAAGCATAAGGTGTTGCAGCAATGCAATGACAATACCTACCGGCTCACTATCCGTTACAACACCACATAGCTTGACCACGTTGCCATGGCAAAACTGGCCCATCAGTGCGGCTTCTTGCAGTAAGGATTTACGCGCCTCCAATCTGGTATCTTTCAAGACTTTTATAGCTACTGGTATCTGTGCAGTTCCCTGTATGGGATTGACAACAAATAATTCAACAGAAAAGGGTACACGTTTAACTACAGTCCCTCTACTGTTCTAGCTGGTACCATGAATACGCGGATCATGCATGCACGATGTGTGGCTAACACTGGACGAGCATGTATGTATGTGCACGCGTGTGTGTATGTGTGTATCCAGGACCAGGTGTGTGTATGTGTGTGTGTGTGTTCCGTCGAAGTGGCGACCTGAAACGTCATCAGTCATTCTGTGGTGGACTGGAGAAACAACAATGCGCTATCATTGCTACGCAATGGGCAAGGTCAAGGTCAAGGTCAAGTTGTGTGTGTGTGTGTGTGTGTGTGTGTGTGTGTGTGTGTGTGTGTGTGTGTGTGTGTGTGTGTGTATGCACAAGTTGCTATGTCTAACATATCTGTTCGCTATTATCGCTTCCGCGATGGGCATGTCTGAGGTCTGACGTGTATGCATCTGTGTGTGGGTGCATACGTGCGTACATTGGTGTGTGCATACGTGCGTACATTGGTGTGTGCATACGTGCGTACATTGGTGTGTGCATACGTGCGTACATTGGTGTGTGCATACGTGCGTACATTGGTGTGTGCATACGTGTGTGTGTGCATGTTTGTGTATATGCCAACGAAAACAGATTCATTTCCATAGGATTGAAGCTTCCACACTGACATGCCTTACCACTTTCAAATCTCCACGTAGAACAACACCAAACTCGCTGCAGTGAATAAAGAACACCATACCTTTTTTTCAATACAAACAGCACTAGACTAACTGACAAGCAATACCTAATTATGTACCATAAAAACATGCCCAATAATTTGCTTGGAATTCGCCAACACAATCATGTAATACGCGTTATCAATCATCAAGAACACAAACACACACACACACACACACACACACACACACACACACACACACACTCACATGCTGCAACAAATACTATAATCATTCGTATGCATACACTCCCCTCGTCTCCCCCCCCCCCCTCCCTCTTGCTCACTGCCAGAAACTGGTCAAGTGGGTCTCCCCTGGTAGAGAGGAGAGATTCAAAATGAATCTTGGAAAGATGACTTAAAACTTCCTATCCCCCCCCCCCCCCCCCACACACACACACACACATGTGTGTATACGTCTTCTTGGGATCATTGCAGTAGCCACAGTGATGGCTGTCTGGCCCACAGCAAACATGTCTCAGTGCTTTAGCCTTTAGATGATGCCACACTAAACATGCTAAATATGTGACCTGACCAATGTAGACAATGATATGCCACAATATTGCCTCAACACTCAAACAGCAGAGCTACATTCGACCGTTGAAGGAGACCATAGATAATGAGGTATCACCAGTACAGATACGTCCCTGTAAGTTCCAAAAAGCTGGGCAACATCCTCTCTGTTTTCCTCTCTTTTTAAAGTAGAGAGATAGAGAGTAAAGCTGACCAGTGTGAACATGCATGGCCGTGTCAGGAGCACATGCATGTTTTTTTCACACGCTGATACAATCGGTCATAATAATGTATTTCAACTTTCAAGTGCACCCTGCTAAAGTTAGCTGCTGTCTACTCTGCTATTACTCACCCAGATCCAAGCTCTTTGCCCAGAATAATATCCTGCCGAAGTAGCTGCCGGTATTGTTGTGCAACTTGAAGATGTGAATACAGATTGTCCACGTCATCTGGTGGGTCAATCACAGGTGCCGTATTGTCAATGTTCACCATTAACGTATCCTGTGGACAAAAGAGGAACAAATCAATAAATTTACACAATGAACTGGTTCATACAAATCCCCATCTAGTAGGGTGCAGTCACCCAGTTTCGGTGGAAGTGGCGAGTTCAATTGGGAATAAAGGAGGGAGGGAGCGTCTCAGCTTCTTCGGACCAAGACCATTCGACTCAGCACCCCGAAGACTACAACTGGTGAAAATTTGATTTTAGATTATACGTCCCCTTTAAACACCCCACTACCAACACGGTTCCACCCTCTTTCCAACATACCGGGATCCAGTACATACCACTCAGCAGCGCAACCAACACCATAAACCCAATACAGTAAAACCTGTGTTTACCGGACCTTTTTTATTTTTATTTAGCAATGATCACAGCTCACAGGCAAAGACAAAATAATGCATAGTGGGAGTATAGTGATGGTGAGGCTTTTTGCCCCCAGGTCTCGGCGTCATGGGGACAAAAAACGCGTGTACCAAGCGGAGTCCAGTATCGACCGGACAATATTTCCTGCACCGATGTGTGGATCGAACCTGTGTCCCTGGATCAACCAGAATCCTGTCATATCAGGACAGTTTCCGCTGCACGAAGGGCGTCCGGTTAGGGCAGGTTTTACTGTACCTCACACCCAGTTCCTCACACCCAACGCCCAGTGCCTAACAATCAACACCTAACGCCCCACACCTAACAAACCACACCCAGCACCTAACCCCCAGCACCTCGCACCCAGCACCTAACCCCCAGCACCCAACCCCCAGCACCTAACCCCCAGCAACCAACCCCCAGCACCTAACCCCCAGCACCCAACCCCCAGCACCCAACCCCCAGCACCCAACCCCCAGCACCCAACCCCCAGCACCCAACCCCCAGCACCTAACCCCCAGCACCTAACCCCCAGCAACTAACCCCCAGCACCTCGCACCCAGCACCTCGCACCCAGCACCTAACCCCCAGCACCTCGCACCCAGCACCTAACCCCCAACACCTACCACAGAAGCAATTCTCTGAGAAGTGTAGTAACTAACCACTAACAATCCCAGTAAGCCAAGATATCAGCTACATGTATGAAGGCCACATTGTTTCCAACATTATCAATCACAATGGGGTGGGATAGGGTTGAAATGTAGCTGCCGAGCAACCATAAACATGGTAGCGTGACAATAAATCAGCTGCTACAATGGAGAAATGCCTTCATGATCACGAAAACAATATTTCAGAAACACATACTAATGTAACTAGGTATGTCATAAGTACTCGCACACTGGGAGTATCTTTACTTATAAAGAAGAGGCACCTATGACGTGTGTCTGTGTGTGTGTGTGTCACGCTCCTTATAAAGAAGAGGCACCTGTGACGTGTGTGTTTGTGTCAAGCTGAAGCGCTGCGGAGCAGCGCTGCCCTGAGCACGCGAAGCGTGCGAACAGTGTAGCACAGTGTAGCTAGCGGCCGCAGAAGCACTGAGCACGCGAAGCGTGCGAATCGTGTAGCTATAGCTAGCGGAAGCAGCCACAGAAGCACTGAGCACGCGAAGCGTGCGAATCGTGTAGCCACCACCACGTGCTGAGCACGCGAAGCGTGCGAACAGTGTAGGTGGTAGCAGACACGATCAGTACGAGTAGCAGTAGCAGCCGCGCGCAGAAGCACTGAGCACGCGAAGCGTGCGAATCATGTAGCCACCTAGCCTAGGCCATAGGTAGCACTAGCAGCCGCACAAGCGCTGCGGACCACGTGAACCGTTCTCTGCAAATAGAAACATCTGCAACAAAAGGATACAAAAGATCTGCACTGACTGCACTCTGCATCTGATCTGCAGTGAAGAGCGCATCGCACTTTTGTTCGTAAGTTTATGAATTTTTTGAGCCGCTTCATCCACCACCAGGTGATGGACAACCCTGACCAGCCTCCCGAAGGCGTAACAGACGTCCCTCCTTCTCCTTCCAACGATGAAGAACCTCCCTCACCAGGACTTCAGCGGTCTGGCCACCACCACGTGCTGAGCACGTGTGCTGTTCATGTACTTGCTTCACCCGCATGCCACATTCGGCCAGGCAACGCTGGCCGGTGGTGCTGCTAGTGTTATATAAGTACTCCCACACACCAGTACACCCACACATCAGTACTCCCATACACCAGTACTCCCACACACCGACAATGGCTCTACACTTAGTGTACATGGAACACTAGCAGCAGCAGCAGCAGCGACAGTGACTACCAGTTTGTGACTGTACAGTATATTCTTATAACTTACATAGATATCAGAAGCGCCAGTTGAAGATACGCCTTGTCGAGTGCTGAGTGTTTGAGGTGTCCTAGATACGGCTGGCTTTGCTTCCCTGCCGGCAGAGAGTCGAGCATAGCCACCGTTGCCTTCACCCGTATCCACACCATAGTCCTGAGCACTGGATTGGCCATGAACACTGCTAGGTGGTGTTGCTGATGTTCTTGATCTTGTGCTGCTGCTGCTGCTAGGCTGATGGTTTGAATGTGTGGAATAATTAGCGCCTTCTCCAGCAGAAGAGTACTGAAATTCTGTCTCCTCCATGTCCTGCCACCAAAGCATAATGAAACATGTAGATTTCATTCACCACTGGACTTATTCGATTCTACTCTATTCTAGAAAATCGGTCATAATATCGGGGTTTTTTAAGGCCTAGGTACACTAATTGGGTATTGGAGCTTATGGAAGAACTAAGCTTCAGTTATCCGAATTCTTCACTTATCCAAACCAGCCCTGGTCCCCAGTATTAGGATAACCAACAAGCGCCTGTACTCGATTAAAATTGAAACTCGTAGGGTCAAACGTACAGCTTCAGATAATCATTTTTTCCCCACCAGAAAAATGATAAGACAACTTCGAGAGGTAGATAAACTCAAACAAACTGTTTGTTGAAGATGAAAGCATAGGGGCATACTTGCTACAAGAATGTTAGGCGAAACAACAGTTACATGTACTTGAAACTTTCGCACTTCACCTAGTTTTGTTTTTCCACTCAACCTATATATTCTCCGTTCCCCCAAACAACAGATGTCAGTAAAATCGTACACATTTCCAGTTTTCCCCATCCAGTTTAAAGACATGAATAGAATGGATGCTCCCATTGGAAACCTCGAGTAGCTAAGTCTGTTTCATGAAAGACATCTTGATCTGTAATCAGCTACTTTTGCCCATGGGTCTTCAATCTTCATCCCGACACGCCATGATAAATTGAATATACGGTTGTGCCTATAAATATTCGAACTAAAACCGGAACGGCTTCTACCATTGATTGTTCTTTTGATGCATTCCAGTGTCAAAACTATAGCTACATAAAGAGCTTTCCCCTTTGCATTACAGACAGATACTGTAAAAGCCATTATTCTAACGAGGCGCATATATAACGATTTCCCAAAATTGACTGGTTTACGCGTACGAAAGGTAACGATTCTCACGAATTCTCAACGCTCAATAGAACAGTATATGTATCTATTTCTGTATAACGATTTCTATTTTAATGACAGATTTCTCCTCGTTAAATCGTTAGAATTAGCACTTCGTTATATGTATGGCTTTTACAGTAGATGCTAAATTTCACACCCTGTATAATCAAGAGTACATAATCCCCCAAGAGTGTGCAACTCCCGCATACCCTGCTGTCCCGACAGAATTTCAAGTTGACGCCACTCTTCTGATGCAATGCTCCTCACACGAGTGGTTTACGATGATTGTTTGAATGGGGTTGAATTAAATTGTACAGGATAAAATGGGGGGGGGGGGGGGTGTCAAGTCAACCACAGCTCCAGGATACGTCTGATAATACGTGTACAACGTACATTGCATCATAAAAAAATGATGACAACTTGAAATTCTGTTGGGACGGCACCCGCTGTGGAGTTGAGTTGCACACTCTTGGGCGGGTTATGTACTCTTGGTATACTCCCTCAAATATTCTAAATCTGAAGAGCGTAAATGAATTTTAAAAACAGTGTGACTGCAGTGAAGTGTGTCACTTGATCTAACAGTCATGTCTCCTTGCTGCGAAGCGTGAATAATACACTGAATATACACAGATGCTAACACTTTCAAAAGACGATCAGAACGACATTGTGACACACCAGCAAAGACAATCATCCGAGTATCAACACATCCAGGATTCGCGGACAAAGGGGCGGAAATGGCAGATTGATACTTTGTATTAGATACAGACGTCATCAGCTTATTTCCACCTCCAGGAATTCAACCTGGACATTTGTTTATAGTAAAGAAAGGACCGAGGAACTACAAGTTACGCTATAATGTCCACTAACACCACCAGTTACTGAACAATCAGCTCATGCGATAACATTGCACGCCACTGACGGACGATACTGACATTCTATATCTAACTGGCTATCAGCTCTAGCACATCTTGGATGCGCACTCCAACAGCCTTCCAACTTGAAAGGTTCTAAGTTATGATAACATAGGAGGGGAAGGTGAGTGCACCCAAGACAAGCACGACATCATAGCGTAACTTGTAAGATCCTTGGTCCTTTCTTTTCTATAAATTTATCCTTGGCTCTCCATCTGAGTTCATTCTTGGACATTTGTTATAATTATTTCTGGCCATGCAAATAATTGCGTACCTTGAGGCCTGCACATAGTTGCAGAAGTATTATTATTTTTACTTCAAGTAAATTTTATAGTGGGCGCTTGTCGCCTGTGTTGTAGTCTAGTCCATAATCCATGATATCACCTTACCTTACAGCCTGGAATAGTAACAATGCACACAACGTCACGGAACACATGACGACTGAGCCACGTGATATCTAATATATTCTAATCTCAACCAGCTTCCCGGCCATGAATGTTCAGCTTCCCAGCCGCTCAGGTGCGTAACTGCTTGGAATAAGTCTATCACCTGACAGGGCAGCGCGCCCAGTCAGCAAACACCGCCGAATAAACTGCAACAGCGCTACCGACGGCAATATGCTTTCTAAACAGATCAGGTCATGGCGGCTTGAACATGCTCACTATCTCGCCATTTCTCTGGAAGGGTAGCGCGCGGTTCGTACATCTACATGACCTTGTACAATCATAGAGTCATTCATTCTACTTGTAACAAAAACACGAACATAGTACAGACTAGTCGACTGTCAGTAGCGCCGCAAACGGCGAAGGGACAAAATAAAATAAAAATCTTTAATAGTGAGGTTTTGCATTCCGAATTTCGGTCCGATCGGTCATATGTCGAACATCAAAATGCCGAATATTCGCACCAACGTTTGTTTTGCAAGTCGAAAATGATGTGTTTTCATTTCGTGAGCCCCAGCATCTGCAATGTCCTGTCCCGTTCTCCTTTCCTTGCTGATTCCAACGAACTTTGATCGCTCAAAGAGTCGAGGGCCAAACCTGCCTCCCCAGTCGCCTCAGAAAAACCAACTCCATGGCCAAGTCAAATTTCATGCGTATCGCCATAGTCTTTCAGCCACACAGATGACGGTGAGGACACTCCAGGCCAAAGAGAGTTGACAGGCAGTGGAGAGGAGTAATCAGAGGTACCTGGCGATGCTGATGTCGCCAAAGACGGCGGCGAAGCGATGCCGAGATAAGAAACCTCTTTGAATAAATCACGCGCTAGCGCTCTTCTACAAGAAAATTCATCCGAAAAATATTTTCGGCAAAGTGAGCTTTTTCCGAACAAACGTGCCGAATCTTCGTGTGCATTTTCGACCTCGCTCCCGCGTGCCGAATCTTTTTGCCGAATTTCGGAATGCAAAACCTCGCTTATTATTCACGGCATGCACCGTACCGGTACGCGGTACTTTCATTATTCTGATCTGTTTTGTAAAATTTCCCGAAGCAAACACGTAGACCTACGTAGTTACGTAGATCTACACTGCACTGCAGTCTGCAAGTACTAGTATGTGGCAGTGCCAGTAGTACTGCAGTAGTGCACTAGCAAGGCCACACGTTTTTATTAATAATTATTTTTCTAAGCTAGAGACATAGAAAATAAAAACGTGTGGCCGCGCTATCGCTAGTGCAACTAAAACCGCGGCCTTAATAGGCAGTGCATGCAGTGTATGTACTCGATCCTCTCCGATTTTCTCGTCACCCGAAAATCTAAAAAAATTAAAATCGTACGATCCGAGTATGCCAGAGGTGAAAAAATGACCGAAAAAAACATTTTATTAGCTTCTTTGCACGTGCAGCAAAATCTGCTGACCATGGCCCGTGCCATATTAATATTATGGCAATATTATGGCACGGGCCATGGTCAGCAGATTTTGCTGCACGTGCAAAGAAGCTAATAAAATGTTTTTTTTTCGGTCATTTTTTCACCTCTGGCATACTCGGATCGTACGATTTTAATTTTTTTAGATTTTCGGGTGACGAGAAAATCGGAGAGGATCGAGTACATACACTGCATGCACTGCCATTAGTTGCACTAGCGATAGCGCGGCCACACGTTTTTATTTTCTATGTCTCTAGCTTAGAAAAATTAATAAAAACGTGTGGCCTTGCTAGTGCACTACTGCAGTACTGGCACTGCCACATACTATAATTATGTCCCAGTGCCAATAGTATTACTCAGTAGTGGCATGGCAGTACAGTGCCAGCGTGCGTGGCTGGTCCCCGGCCGGCCCCCGCGCAGTGCATGCATGCAGCACAGTTTTTTTCCAGACTCCTGAATCGATCGTATGCGCGGGTGACGAGAAACATAGAAAAAAAACGTGTGGCCTAATATGTATCTAATATTCGCCTCGGTCTTTTAATGGAAGTTTCCGGAGGAGGAAGGAGGAAACTGTAGTTATCACCAACCCTCACCGCGCCCAGCTCACGCCGCTACGGCGTGCGACCTGAGCTGGGCGCCCTGCCCAGTATGGAACTGTCCTCAAGCCAGTCACGTATTTGGCAGCCCAGTGAGCTGTCTACCGGATCGCAGCGTTTAGAAGCGCCAAATGCGGCAGGGCCAGTCTCAGGCTGGTCGCGTAGGCTGCAGGCCGGCGGGCGACCGGCAAGGCTGCATTCGCATTTGGATCACCGAAGTGATACAGGTGCTTCGACGGCACTCCGTGGCGCATCAAGGAGGCATCTGGGGCCCAGGCAGCCCGCCCGTAAGCGCACCACCGTATCAGGTATGCGCAGGTGGAGCAGCAGAGCAAGATGTGTGCGGGACACTCACCATCATCCGGTCGACTGCATGGTTGTGCGACTTTACACAGCCGTCACTCATTACTTGCTATTGCTTGCAGAAGGCCAGAATTTTTTTTTTCTTTTTTCGCTCTTTCCCTTCTTCCAGGCACGGCTTCATGTTAGAGCAGTAAATTGCAGTTAGGGACTCAGCTGAGTCAAGCTGGACTCAGCGTGTCAAGTTTGGCATAATACAATAAGCGCGCTATCCCCAAACAGCTGTGTGGTTATTGTGTGAGTGTATATGCAGGAGTCCGCGGTCACGTGAGGGGGGAGTGATAACGAGGTCTTTTATTTCCTATACTGACCAAGTACGAAGTCAATATTATTAAAATTATCACGACTAACCAAAGCATGTGTTCGATCGCTAAAAAGGAGTCAAATATAAGTGGTCAATATAGCCCGCAAGGAGTGAAATATGCAGGAATATTTGACTGCTTAGGTATGGCAAAAATCTATGGGAGTCACTATACTAAGGGAGTGATAACATGAGTATATCTTGCTAGCAATATGTTACATTCAGTATTACATGTATATGGTCACAAAAAAAATAACATCAGAAATTTATCTACAAAGAAAAAAATGTACATGCACGTCAATGTGTGCTATTGTGAGTGCTATTGTGAGTGCTATTGTGAGTGCTATTGTGAGTGCTATTGTGAGTGCGTATCAAAGGAACACCTCATTGCTTTGATCCGGTGAGTGACCATGGACGCGACCACAGGCACGCGGAGACGATGTATGAGACCCTTTGTGTGACATACTACCGTGTGGTGAGGGAAACGGTGAAGGACCTCTTCAAACAAAGACTTAAGTATCAACTGTTTGTCCTGCCGGAAGTCACGTGAGATGCCCCATATCTAACACCTCACTCACCAGGAAGACAATCGACATGGTTAGCATTTTACCATTCGCGCTATTTTCCACGGTCGGCCTGTCCTGTTTGTGTGTGTGTGTGTGTGTGTGTGTGTGTAGACATGATTAGCATTTTACCGTTCACACTAAATCCAACGGTACTCGTACCCAACACCCAAAATACCGTCAGTTTGGTCGCGACTGTTTCGACAATAGAAAGCTCTGTTTAGCTGGAGAACGAAACAGTAAGATTCCAACTATGGTTACGTCACAAGTCGATCAGTGTGACAAAAATCGAAATGCTAACCATGTCTTGAAAACACACACAAAAAAAACGGTACAGGCCGACGTACGGTCGAAGTTAGCGTGAACGGTAAAATGCTAACCATGTAAATCAGAGTCTTGCCACCTACCCTAATACTAGTAATAGCAGGTGGCAGATAGATTTGAAAAAGTTTTGTTTTTTCACGGCTGAGCGTAGCGAAAGAGTGCAAAAAACGTATTTTTCACTCACAAATATTTTCGTGCATTTGCTCTTGTTCTGCGCAACTCCGTTGAACCTGCCATCGTGGTCCTTGTTTTTCCTCGTGGCAGTTGAAGTTGCCCGCCCACCCACCCTGGTGTCATGGGAGTCGTCCGCTGTTCTTCTTGACAATCTATGCCTATGTGTTAGGGCTTGGCGGATAATGCCGGCAGAATTTTCGGCAGAAAACGCCTGTTTGGGGGGTCGAGCATATTTCGGCAGAACGGGGGCTGAAAAAGCCCGCTGTGTGAAAAGATTCAAATCAAATCATCTTTTGCTGCGCAAGCCGGGCCGCGGACGGGTATTCCGTGGATCACGACACCAGTGAAGTCAGACTTGAAAATGTTCGCAAAACAAGCAAATTGCAACGAAGGTCGAAAATCGCTGCAACTGGGCCATATTATGTAGTGTGGCTAGCCTTCATCTGAAGTGCGCCTGCGCCGGCCACATTGTGTTCTTTTTCATGCCTTGTCTAGTATTTCACATGACTCATCTTTTTAGATCCTGAACCCAATTATGTGTGCCAAGTGTATTTTTACATAACTGGATTTCAGCAGAAATTTCAGCAGAAAATGCACTTTCATGAGCAGAATATTGAGCAGACCGAAAAGCAGAATGAGGGATTTCGGCGAGCATTATCCGCCTAGCCCTACTATGTGTGTGGCTTATGATTATGACATACACCGGTTATTACATACCATTTCTTGCTATCTCTATTCTTGGGTCTGACTGGCAGCGGGGCAGGAATTAATGAAATAGAAAGGTTTTTTGGCCGAAAGGCGTGTTTTTCCTCTAGCCCGGTTGAGCGGTCGCGGCTAGGAATGTAGGGAGTCATTGTTTTTCAGGCGCTCCCCTGCTGCCCAGTCACCCATGCTCACCACTGGCCATGCTGTTTCACTTGATTTCACGGCCTTTTCTCCCGCTTGCTGGCGGTTCTTTGATGGATTTAGATGTTTTTCGGCTATTTATCTATTATGTGGCTGCGAGTGTGGTTTTTTGCTTCTACTCATTTCTGGAAAACCACCACGGTGGTGAGTGTGATTGCTCTGGTGGACCACTACCCCATGTACTGAACAGTCGCTTTGTGAGTGAAAAGTTACCAGTTTATGTCCATCTGTTCAGGTTTGCTTTGTTTTGCTAATGATTCACACATGCATGTTGTTACCTGCTGAAATTGTCCCCCGCTGAATACATGTAGTATAATCACCTTTTTGTTTCGCTCTTTTTTCCTTTTCTTTCACTTTTAATTGTCAGTATAATATTAGTTTCAAGTAGTCCCCATTCCATTGTTACGTAAATCCACTGATGAATGTAACAAGAAAACAGTTCTGAACAAATCCTCTCTTTCCCTTCGTTGTGTGCCTTGCGATCATCGTGTAACATTTTACACATACATGTCGACATAATTATAGGAAATGCTTACAGTACAATTAGCCCTCTAGTGTTTTAACAACCATTTTTTTTCGTTATTCCAAGAAATGTTATCTCGAACTTGGGCTGAGATGTCTGTGTAAAGATACGCATATAGATGGGTGGCCAGGTAGCCATCATTAAACTTTCTGCACGTTATCATGCCAAAATTGCAAAAAAAAACATTCCACTTTTTGGTCGTCAAACTTCCCGGTTTTAAAGTGCCCATTTGTCGATTTTTGTGGGTTTTTTTCATGCCATTCAATGAAATGCGATCGATAGTCACTACTAGAGAGTTCATAAAGGCACCTTTGTCTGGTTTGAAGTCGGGGGTTCGCCCTGTACGTTGCGTTTTGCACGGCAAGACAATTTTCGAAAATGGAAAATGGATTACAGGGTACCTGTTTCCCATGCCCCCCCCCCCCCACTATTTTCCATGCCCCCTACTATTTCCCATGCCCCCTCCTACTATTTCCCATACCCCCCCCCCCCTACTATTTTGACCAGACTAGAACCCTAAGGAATCTTACAATTCTCTCTCTCTCGTTGCTGCTGATCGTGATAGGTACAGGCAGCTTGTTTATCAGTGTAGTTATGTTTTTCTTTTTTTCTTTTTTCTGTGCTTTTGATGCTGCTGCCTTATGACACACATGGCGCCCCTACCACCAGAACGGTCATGAGTCATACATACATACATACATACATACATACATACATACATACATACATACATACATACATACATACATACATACATACATACATACAGAACCCTGCATGTAGTATGTATCCGTACACATGTAGAGTGTACAAAGCGGATTTACCATTGTCTTGAGAAAGTGCTCAACCCACAAATAGCAGCATGCGAAACAAGTTCACAATCGAGAAACTTTGTTTTGTTATAACTCGGAGTTTTAAAATCTTGTAGGACACATCACGCAGCTTCATAAGTAAAAAATTAGTTGTGAGCAACACTGGCTCACACTCAAATCACTGCTTTTCACCAGAAAAAATATTTTATTTCAACGTTTCGGTCATGAAATAACCATCATCAGGAATGAAGTGGGCAAACCGGTTAAGATGGGTAAATAAATGAGGAGCGCTGCAAACTGATTGACATATGCACTTCTCTAACTTGAATGCCCACTTCACGTACAACCATGGCGTCCTTGTCCTTGAGGAAGAAAAACGATTTAAAATCTTGTAGGACGCATCACGCAGCTTCATAAGTAAAACATTGGTTGTGAGCAACACTGGCTCACACTCAAATCACTGCTTTTCACCAGAAAAATATTTCTGAGTTTTATGGTACAGTAATAGTAATACAGTCAACTTCTCTAATAACGACTGCGGATATAACGACAACTTCTCTAATAACGACTGCGGATATAACGACAACTTCTCTAATAACGACTGCGGATATAACGACAACTTCTCTAATAACGACTGCGGATATAACGACAACTTCTCTAATAACGACTGCGGATATAACGACAACTTCTCTAATAACGACTGCGGATATAACGACACCTTCTCTAATAACGACTGCGGATATAACGACAACTTCTCTAATAACGACTGCGGATATAACGACAACTTCTCTAATAACGACTGCGGATATAACGACACCTTCTCTAATAACGACTGCGGATATAACGACAACTTCTCTAATAACGACTGCGGATATAACGACAACTTCTCTAATAACGACTGCGGATATAACGACAACTCGCGAATAACGACAGAATTTCCATGCCCAGAGCAAAGTCACGTCCAACTGTAAAACATATGATGGGACTTCGGGTATAACGACACTTCGCGAATAAGGACACTTTTCTGATGCCCCGCCGAGTGTCGTTATACGCGAAGTTGACTGTAGTGCCAATCATCAGACAACCTTTCCGCTCATTGTCAGCTTGCATACAATGTACACATACATGTACTAATGGAACGTAGATGTGTGATTTTTCACGTGTTTCTTACTGTGAGTGCCATGCGTGATGTGTTACTTACTATGAGTGCCATGCGTGATGTGGCCCTGCCACCGTTTCTCCTTGTACCAGTAGGTTTGCTGACGGTCACCTCCCTATTGATGTATGGTGCAGAATCCTGTATGCTGAGATTTCCTAAAGATGAACATTATCGCAAAAAAAAACACACGGGGCATACAAATATGCGCATGGACAGAAGAGGCAGTCCGAGACAAATATCCCAGCATATCGCCCCACCTGTCCAGAATATGGACTAATTTGGACACCGGCATGCCCAATATCTTACAGCACCCTGTATGACCCATGTACATAAGTTTAAATAAAAAAACATTAAAAAAAAATAAAATTATCGTGTCCGTTCCCGAAGGGGAATGTACAGTTCAATATACAGGTCGTCCCTCGTTAATACATAATCTCTGGGACTTGACAAATGTTATGTATTAACGGGGTTTATGTACTAAACGAAAGTGTACATAACTTGCTTGTGTACCGGAATTTTTCACTTTTTTCTACTTTTCTGAGTGTTTCTTGCTACCTCGACTAGGCAGCGAGATATTCTTGATTCCCTCGATATAAACATAAAAATTATGTTATAACGGTCACAGTTAGCGAAGATTCTACAGTTTACGTGATACATGCCCAGCCGCGCCTGTACAGTCACTCGAAAAAAAAACAGAGCTTTGTCGGTTTGTGATGTGCGCTCTGGTTTCTGAGTTAATTGCGTCCACAAGTAGAATCTAGAACACGATGTGCCTCCACTGGAAGGCCAAAAGACCAACAAATTATGTACTATTGAGGTAGATGACATGCGGGTACGGAGAAATGTTATGTACTAACGGGGTTTATGTACTAACGAATTATGTACTAACCGACAAAATTTGTATGGAAGTGACCGCGTTTCGTCCGGGACTTGAGATTTCTTATGTACTAACGGGGTTTATGTACTAACCGGACTCGTATTAACGGGGGACGACCTGTACTGGTTAGCGTCATAGCTATCTGCCTTTGTGCAAAGCTCGCTGTGTGTTGTCGCAGTTAGAGCACTAAGATTTTGATGCTCTGAGCTGGTTTGAAAATGATTCGCCGTTCATGAATTTCATTGCGATCAGTTTGACCAGTGACTCTGAGCTCTGTTAACGAGATCTAACAAGATCAAAACAGATATAAATATACTGCACATTCAATTATTTATCTTTCTTTTAACTCGGATGTTAATCCAAAGTAATCATGGATTATAAGAAAGGACAATATGTTACGAGTTATGACTAACTGTCCACCAACGTAACCAGATCATAATTATACAGTCAGCGAGTGCGACAAAAATGCAGAAACTGACAAGGAGTACTGAGACATTCGACTACCTGACACCTAGCTCCAACACTTCTACGAGACGCCAGCCAACAACCTTCCAACTTGGAAGGCTTGGGTTAGGAAAGGTCCAAGAGGGGAAGGAAAGCGCAATGAAGAAGAGCACGAGCTGAGTCCCACGGCAACAAAGAATGCCGAAAGTTACTGGATGATGATGAAACTAAGTTAGTAAAAACAATTGGACATACCGGTTCTACTACAACTCAACAGTGCAAAGCAACAGACCACCCAACTTACTTGGGAGGCTCAAGTTTATGTATAAACATAGAACGGGGAAGCTAAGCGAAGACGAATTGTGACAAACCGAAACGTGAACATCCTACCGAACTGCATTATGATGTAATAGTTATGATGGACTAGTTAAATACAATAGCAAGTAGTTGTACACGACGTATGCTTCGCCGATTAGCTAATGGCGGCTCATCAGGTGTGCAAATCTGAACTCGGATGTTGAGCCAAAGTAATTGGTATGTCCAATTGTCTTACTAACTTAGTTTTGTCATCATCCAGTAACTTTTGGCATTCTTTGTCGCCGTGGGATTTAGCTCGCGCTCTTCTTCGTTGCATTTTTCTTCCCCTCTTGGACCTTTTCTAACCTGAGCCTTCCAAGTTGGAAGGTTGTTGGTTGGCGCCTCGTAGAAGTGTTGGAGCTAGGTGTCAGATCATTGAATATCTCAGTACTCCTTGTCAGTTTCTGCGTTTTTGTTGCACTCGCTGACTGTGTACGTTGGTGGACAGTTAGTCATAACTCGTGACATGTTGTCCTTTCTTTTAATATTTTCATTTTTTTCTAAAGACTTTTCCTGTTTGCATCTTTCCATGAAACCAATGAATATTTTAAGACTTGGGGATCCCCGCATGCTAGTTTGTATGTGAAGTGTGTGGGTACAGTGAGGGTTGTGTCCCACCCACCTGTGTGGATTCACAGGAAGTGTGAGTTTCGAAGTCTGGAGAAAATGTTGAACGGTCTCTGCTTGGATGACGATAACATCATAGCTTAGTGGCAGAGCATCACTGGCCATAAGCAAGGGTCACTGGTTCGAATCCTGGTGGTGACAGTCATCTTTTCTTCAGACTTTTCCCGTTCACATCTTTCCCTTAAACCAATGAATAATCTCTTTCATGTGTTGCATATTATTCTGGCACTACGTACATACACAGTGGCTGTCACTGAGGGCATCATACCTGTCAAGGAGCTCAGCTAGTTTTGTCTACTACAGTATGACGATCGCGTTCTCTCTAGAGCTAGCCTGATGTGATTCCTCTTACTATGTCATATAGCTATACTGTAGTCTGTTCATCATTGGTTTGGTTTTATATGCTTTTTCTGTCCTGGTGTCTTAAATTTGCTATACACATTAAATTTCCCTTGGCATTTTACTTATATCATTTCCTTCAGTATACTCTAGCCATCCCTGTTGTTACTTGTTGGACAAATCAATGACTCCGAATGCAAGAACCATTCGTTAGTAGATTCGATGATAGCAGGAATCCCAACAGGCAATGAATTACCTTCTTACAGGGAACCCTAGTAAATCGTGCTACTGTGGGCTACACCAGGTCATGCCTGGCTATTCCAGGCTATTTCAAGCTATACCATGCTATTGAATGGGTGACTGCAGGTAGAGTCCCTGATTCCATGCCTGATCTAATTGGATCCAAGTGAGGTTACAAGCCACTGTTTTCTCTGCATGAAGATACTTTCTAGTTCCTACCTGCTTCTTGCTCTCCATGAAAACATGGCATTGGGCGGGTATAGAAATTTGTCAAGAATGCAGCCCCATGCCTGCCAGCGGTGCTCACCCCGAGATTGTGCAAAGTGGTGAAAAGGTCGCATGTGAAAACGCATCGAAAAGTATACGAGGTGGAACAGGCTCGTCTCCAACAGCGCTTGGAGCAATTCTGAAGTTCATTCTTTTTCGCCAAAGCCATGGAAGGGCTTCCTGGCAGCGGCTCTGACTCAATATGAGTGTCAGACATCAAGTCGAGCACCATTCTAGTGCTTCCTTCACCTCCATGACTCCATGACTCCATGACTCCATTCCCGCACAAACTGAACACGAACTGGGCTTCGCCTGTTCACCAGCGATCTTCCGCCTGATCCCAAAACGCGACCGTTGGTCCCACCTTAAGAACGCTCTATTCTGAAGTTGCACTTGCAGAATAAAATTCATTCATAAGCGCCAGACGGAGCTGAAAAGTAGCAATTTCTTAGGAAAATAATAACTCCATGCATGGATAATAACTCCATGCATGGATTTCTAGAAATTGATTACAAACTTAAAAGTAACACATACATGTACCTGCAATTGGAATAACTTCATTTGACGGGTATCCATAGGTCCCACTTGAAAATGCCATCATACCAGTTGATGATTCATTCACCTTCATTTCACTGTGTGTATGTCGATGATGACGTCGGTATAACAGGACAATGACCAATACTATCAGTAAGAAAGCTGCTCCGCCGACTGCAGCCCCAACCGGTATTGCAAGATTAGCAGATCCAGATAACTGGCTATCATTTCCACCACCATCAACATCAACAACGATAAAAGCTGTTGTGCTGGTGATATTAGTATTGGATGTTGCTACTGATAGATCCTGAGATGTGGGCACTGATGATGTGGCTTGTGGCACAGTTGTGGTGGCAATCATTGGTATGATGGTTGGGGTGGTGATTGGTGTGGTGGTTGGTACGGTGGTTGGTGTGGTGGTTGGTGTGGTGGTTGACGTGGTGGTTGGTGTGGTGGTTGGCGTGGTGGTTGGCGTGGTGGTTGGTGTGGTGGTTGGTGCGGTGGTTGGTGGGGTGGTCGGGGTAGTGGTTGGTGTGGTGGTCGGGGTAGTGGTCGGTGTGGTAGTTGGTGCGGTGGTTGGTGTGGTAGTCGGGGTGGTGGTTGGTGTGATGGTTGGTCTGGTGGTCGGTGTGGTAGGTGGTGGGGTAGTTGGTGTGGTGGTTAGTGTGGTGGTCGGTGTGGTGGTTGGGGTAGTGGGTGGTGTGGTGGTTGGTGTGGTAGTTGGTGGGGTAGTTGGTGTGGTGGTTGGTGTGGTAGTCGGGGTAGTGGTTGGTGTGGTGGTCAGGGTAGTGGTTGGTGTGGTGGGTGGTGTGGTGGTTGGTGGGGTAGTTGGTGGGGTAGTTGGTGTGGTGGCTGGTGTTGTAGTCGGGGTAGTGGTTGGTGTGGTGGGTGGTGTGGTGGTTGGTGTGGTAGTTGGTGGGGTAGTTGGTGTGGTGGTTGGTGTTGTAGTCGGGGTAGTGGTTGGTGTGGTGGATGGTGTGGTGGTTGGTGTGGTAGTTGGTGGGGTAGTTGGTGTGGTGGTTGGTGTTGTAGTCGGGGTAGTGGTTGGTGTGGTGGGTGGTGTGGTGGTTGGTGTGGTAGTTGGTGGGGTAGTTGGTGTGGTGGTTGGTGTTGTAGTCGGGGTAGTGGTTGGTGTGGTGGTTGGTGTGGTGGTTGGTGTGGTAGTTGGTGGGGTAGTTGGTGTGGTGGTTGGTGTTGTAGTCGGGGTAGTGGTTGGTGTGGTGGTTGGTGTGGTAGTTGGTGGGGTAGTTGGTGTGGTGGTTGGTGTTGTAGTCGGGGTAGTGGTTGGTATGGTGGGTGGTGTGGTGGTTGGTGTGGTGGTTGGTGTTGTAGTCGGGGTAGTGGTTGGTGTGGTGGTTGGTGTGGTAGTTGGTGGGGTAGTTGGTGTGGTGGTTGGTGTTGTAGTTGGGGTAGTGGTGGGTGTGGTGGGTGGTGTGGTGGTTGGTGAGGTAGTTGGTGGGGTAGTCGGGGTAGTGGTTGGTGTGGTGGTCGGGGTAGTGGTTGGTGTGGTGGGTGGTGTGGTGGTTGGTGTGGTAGTTGGTGAGGTAGTTGGTGTGGTGGTTGGTGTTGTAGTCGGGGTAGTGGTTGGTGTGGTGGGTGGTGTGGTAGTTGGTGGGGTAGTGGTTGGTGTGGTAGTTGGTGTAGTTGTTGGTGTGGTGGTTGGGGTAGTTGTTGGTCCAGGTATATCTGAAATCCAAACACCATCAGTAGCAGTCACATTATTAGCAGCCACAACAGCAGTTTCTTCTTCATGAAAACAGCAGTTTCTTCTTCATGAAAACAGCAGCCACAGTAAAGCAACAGCATCAAAAGGAGCAGTAGCACATTCCAAATACCACTTCATTCAAATGCAATCATTATACTGATGTAAGCCCTGTGCATGCGGCCAGCGGCCAGCCAGGCACACATGACCATTGCATTTCACACACCATGGTCAGGATCGGGGAGTGAATAATTTCAACCATGGAGATTTCATGCATGCTTGGGTGGATGCTCGCCTGAATTGTGCTTGTCAGCACTGACCTTCTATCCTGCTGTATTGTGCTCAGTGACAACGACCACCATTGAGCGCTACCCCTCACCGTGTGGATCTTCATGGCACATTTCCCAACAAGCTTGTTTGGGGTGGGCACAAGTTTGTTTGGAAGAGACCACATGCAAGTTTGTTGGTAGAGAATTTTTGCAATATTCTAAGAGTATGAGACAACAAACACCAGGCAACTCCCGGCCCATCGTCTTTCTTTCAGAGTTCCAGGACCTGTGAGAACTGTATCATATAGAAGACCTTGTGTCGCGTATGTTTCCTGTTCCTTCATATTTGGCTTGTTATGTGTGTATGTGTGTGTGGGGGGGGGGGAGACAACAGTACTTGGTGTGTGTGTGGGGGGGGGGGGGGTAGTACTTGTTGTGTATGTGTGTGTGTGTGGGGGGGGGGGCAATAGTGCTTGGAGGGTAACATAGGCAACTCTATACAGCACATGAACCAAGAGTATTTTTCGGATTGGAGGGTTAAGTTCTTCCAGTTCTACTATTTTAGAGTAAATGAAGGGATTGATCATGCAAGGCCATAGTACACATAGTACACATGTAAACTGTTTTGAAGAAGTGTGGCCAGCATAAATTTACACTCAGACTGCAATGACACTAACAACATCAGCGCCTTACCATCCAAGATGATACGGAATGTAGGAAGTACATATGATGCAGAACTAACTGCCCATTCCGTTCCCACAGTGATTGTGGATCGTGTGTAGAAGGCATCGCCGGTAGAGGTGTATTTACCACGAATTCCGCAGCCACTGTTGGTTTGCGCAAATCCAAAGTAGAGGGATTGGTTGGCATGGATTATCAACTTATCCCCCGTACTTGTAAATCTCTGCCGGTAGTAGACTGCGCCACTGGACGAGCTAAATGCTGTGACGGATGACTGGAAGATATTTTTGTAAGTTGTTGAAGCAGTCTTCTCCCACACGAGAAGTTTCAGTGAGCATGATCCACTGTGGATTGTTTCCCAGCCACTCAGCTGCTTAGCACATCCCGTGGTATAAGTCAGTGGTATCACAACAGATACTTTGCAGTTAAATATTGGGCACACTGATGCACTAGTGTCTGCTGGTTGAGAACCTCGGAGTGAACAACTGTGTACCTCTGTGCAAGTAAGCAAGAGAAGAGAACGTGAACAGGCTGGTATCATTGTAGTGAATTGATTAGGATTGATGGTGGCATTGGCTACAACTGGTGTTATCTTCTCTCCTTCTTTTTTTAATGCTTCCCACAGGAAAAATTATTTTTGAAATTTGTTAAAGTATTCATTGGTTTGAGGGAAAGATGCAAACGGGAAAAGTCTGAAGAAACAATTGACTGTCACCACTAGGATACGAACCAGGAACCTTCGCTTGAGGCCAGCGATGTGGTAGTATCGTAAAGTCCGCTGCAAACGCCCACTTCGCTGCAAACGCCCACCCCAGCGGGTCCATACTATTTTCGTCTTTTCCAAGTCAATATAGTTGTAGAAAACTGGCATGAAGGTTGAATGCGTACGAGAACGACTAAAATGCCTACAAACTGCCTATGTCTTACCAAGAGGCTCTGGAAAAGCGATTGTCATTATCTTGCTGCAAAGAAAAAACTTCGGTCAAGATTTCCTTTCATACTATGAATGAGTCGTCTTTGTTATTAGTTCGTTCTCCATGAAGTAATGCCGTAGAATCCATCTGGTTTTCAAATCATGAAATTTCTACAGTGCCACAATGTCGCGCTTTCAGAATGGAATGGTGATTGTTCTGACGAAGCGTCCTTCAACGTCGCAGTATTGCAGTTGCAAGTCGAACAGGGGGGATGTCACAGAAGCTACACCTAGGGAGTCGCTGCTATTTTGTTGAAAACTCTGAAGTGCTCGAAAAAACCCTTGCCTTTGCGCGTTGCGTGATTGGGAAATGATGGCTTCAACGCTTGAAACACCGTCAGAAGTGTACTAAGGTTCCTGCAATAGCCTGTTCTTCGCTACCTTGTTATTCCGAAGTAACTGCCGTTTGGATTTGCGAACTAAAACAACCAACATCATAAAATCACTAGGAGCTAGCTCGTAACTAGTGTCCAAAAACATTTTGAAACCCGGAAAATGGACATAGTTTACCGTAGCAGAGCACTCCTCACGCTACGGTGTGAGATGCACTTTCGTACAGCAGGGGTGAAAGTGCATGGGGTCAGTGCGTCTAGGCCAGGAGATCTTGCAAAAATGGGGTGGGCGTTTGCAGCAGACTTTACGGTACATGTATTGGCAAGTACTATAGAGCATCACTCTCTCCCACTCCCTCATTCTCTCATGCTCCTTCAATCTCTCTCTCACACTCACTCCGAGCGTTTATGTCCTCTGTCTGTCTGTCTGTCTGTCTGTCTGTCTGTCTGCCTGTCTGTCTGCCTGTCTGTCTGTCTGTCTGTCTGTCTGTCTGTCTCTCCCTCCCTCTCTCCCTCTCGCTCTCTCCCTCTCACTCACTCTCTCTCTCTCTCTCTCCCTCTTTCTCGCTCACTCACTCTTACACTAAAATGTAAAACCAGCAGAATGCCTTACTTTCACACTTGAATGCGGTTTGATCCAGAAAATATCCATCACCGCACACGTAAGATAGCGTGGGAAGACATACGCCATCTTTTGATAGACCCGAGCAGATCGTACAGGACGTAGTGCTGTTGAGGATATCACAATCTATGAATAGCATCACACAGCATACCCACATGGCAATGTGCTGCAATGCATCCAAATGCAATACAGGTCAACGAGAAAACACAATGTTACATTTTATATCAAGCTACAATGACACTTTGCCTAGTACACTTGTGATCTACAGCATCGCAAAGTACGGGAGAGCGGCCCGTCTCGCGAAATTGCCCCGCCTTAAATGTATAGCCAGCCTGGGAAAGGGATGATCGCGTGGCAGAGTGCAGCTAAGTTTGTATGGTGTGAGAGTCTTAGTGTAGTAAGGTCACACTCCGGGGCCGCTTACATGAGAATAATATGCTTGGGCTTATTCAACCTTAGGCTACATTGTAGAATATGAACCGCAATTCAAATATTCATAGCTTACACCTACCTACACACCTACATGTACATATTAGCGCTACACCTACCTACTTGTACAAACACCTAACCAGAAACACTTACCTATGAAAGCTTCAAGTTCTGTGGAAGTCAAAACCTTAGAAACAAATCGAATGTCATGAAATCCGGTAAAAGATCGCAGTGTTGTAGAACCGATTCCATTGAGTGTCCCAGTTAGTGGTGCTGAAGACAAAGTAGTCTTTGCCAGTTCTGTGCCACCTACACACACTGTCAACTGTTTGCTTGTTGCAGCATATGTCAATGAGAAATCTTGCCAGCCATATTTCCTTGACCGTGCATTGTTGTATAATGTGATATTCTGCTTCTATTGATCCGCAACAGTAATACGCATGTGCATACACATATGCATACACACACACACACACACACACACACATACACACACACACACACACACACACACACACACACACATACACACACACACACACACACATATACACACACACACATACACACACACACACATGCACACACATACACACACACACACACACACACACACACACACATGCACACACATACACACACACACACACACACACACACACACACACACACACACATGCACACACATACACACACGTGCAGACACACCCGTGAACATACATAAAACCATAGATTGAGTTACATGATTTATACACACATGTGCATACATGCACCTATGCGTACACATGATCATCGGATATTACAGTAAAACCTGTGACTAACGACCACCCCTTGGTGCTAGTGGCAGGTGGTCCTTAGCTAGAGGTTTGCACCGCACAACCATACATGAATGTGAGACTGTCTGTGCCTGTCGATGTGGTCTAAAAAAATCGGCGGTTCGGTGGAGGGAAATTTTCGGTAAAACCCGTTTTCCAGGTAAGTGTACTAGTAGTACAGTTGCGCTCACTGAAATCCGACCCAAAGTGCAAAGCTGGCGCCCTGGACCAGTTCCTATTACATCATTGTGGGTGTACATGTGTACGTCCAGCCGCATTCATTCCACTGCTAGGGCGTCAAGGGCCGTGGAAGTTGAGGGCGCCAGAGTATAAAAACATTGGGTCGGATTTCAGTGAGCACAACTGTACATCTATACAGTACCGGTAGTACCGAAATTTTCGGTGCGTTTTATTTTCGGTAAAAATAGTCGGCACCAAAGTCACCGGAAATAAAACACCACAGAAAAGTTCTGCTTTTTACAGTAGATGACAACAGCACTGTAAATCAACATGGAATTATTACTTCAAAGAGAAATTCGCCTGCTCAAAAATGTGCTCAATACTCATATGAGCAGAGTATAAAACCACGAATTGCAGAGCAGCAAGCTTTGTTGTTACCAATGGCTTCATGTCCTGGAGCAATCAACACACAACAATTGTCTATTTAGTATAGCCCAATAGCATGACATCATTGGTAACAACAATGCTTGTTGCTCTGTGATTCGTGGTTGACATCATTACTGCACAACTACATGACATCATTATAGTAAAGTGTGTGACATCATTAAAGTAAATTACATGACAGCATGACTGTACTGCACACTGTACTGCACAGTGTATTCAGGTAGCCAGTACAGTGTATAGCCAGTACAGTGTATACTGTATAGCCAGTACAGTGTATAGCCAGTACAGTGTATAGCCAGTACAGTGTATAGCCAGTACAGTGTATAGCCAGTACAGTGTATAGCCAGTACAGTGTATAGCCAGTACAGTGTGTAGACAGTACAGTGTATAGCCAGTACAGTGTATAGCCAGTACAGTGTATAGCCAGTACAGTGTATAGCCAGTACAGTGTATAGCCAGTACAGTGTATAGCCAGTACAGTGTACAGCCAGTACAGTGTATAGCCAGTACAGTGTATAGCCAGTACAGTGTATAGCCAGTACAGTGTATAGCCAGTACAGTGTATAGACAGTACAGTGTATAGCCAGTACAGTGTATAGACAGTACAGTGTATAGCCAGTACAGTGTATAGCCAGTACAGTGTGTAGACAGTACAGTGTATAGCCAGTACAGTGTATAGACAGTACAGTGTATAGCCAGTACAGTGTATAGACAGTACAGTGTACAGCCAGTACAGTGTATAGCCAGTACAGTGTGTAGACAGTACAGTGTATAGCCAGTACAGTGTACAGCCAGTACAGTGTATAGCCAGTACAGTGTATAGCCAGTACATTGTATAGACAGTACAGTGTATAGCCAGTACAGTGTATAGACAGTACAGTGTATAGCCAGTACAGTGTACAGCCAGTACAGTGTATAGCCAGTACAGTGTATAGCCAGTACAGTGTATAGCCAGTACAGTGTATAGCCAGTACAGTGTATAGCCAGTACAGTGTATAGCCAGTACAGTGTATAGACAGTACAGTGTATAGCCAGCACAGTGTATAGCCAGTACAGTGTATAGACAGTACAGTGTATAGCCAGTACAGTGTACAGCCAGTACAGTGTATAGCCAGTACAGTGTATAGCCAGTACAGTGTATAGCCAGTACAGTGTATAGCCAGTACAGTGTATAGACAGTACAGTGTATAGCCAGTACAGTGTATAGACAGTACAGTGTATAGCCAGTACAGTGTATAGCCAGTACAGTGTGTAGACAGTACAGTGTATAGCCAGTACAGTGTATAGACAGTACAGTGTATAGCCAGTACAGTGTATAGACAGTACAGTGTACAGCCAGTACAGTGTATAGCCAGTACAGTGTGTAGACAGTACAGTGTATAGCCAGTACAGTGTACAGCCAGTACAGTGTATAGCCAGTACAGTGTATAGCCAGTACATTGTATAGACAGTACAGTGTATAGCCAGTACAGTGTATAGCCAGTACAGTGTATAGCCAGTACAGTGTATAGCCAGTACAGTGTATAGCCAGTACAGTGTATAGACAGTACAGTGTATAGCCAGCACAGTGTATAGCCAGTACAGTGTATAGACAGTACAGTGTATAGCCAGTACAGTGTATAGACAGTACAGTGTATAGACAGTACAGTGTATAGCCAGTACAGTGTATAGACAGTACAGTGTATAGCCAGTACAGTGTATAGCCAGTACAGTGTATAGACAGTACAGTGTATAGCCAGTACAGTGTATAGCCAGTACAGTGTATAGCCAGTACAGTGTATAGACAGTACAGTGTATAGCCAGCACAGTGTATAGCCAGTACAGTGTATAGACAGTACAGTGTATAGCCAGTACAGTGTATAGACAGTACAGTGTATAGACAGTACAGTGTATAGCCAGTACAGTGTATAGACAGTACAGTGTATAGCCAGTACAGTGTATAGCCAGTACAGTGTATAGCCAGTACAGTGTATAGACAGTACAGTGTATAGCCAGTACAGTGTATAGCCAGTACAGTGTATAGCCAGTACAGTGTATAGACAGTACAGTGTATAGCCAGTACAGTGTATAGCCAGTACAGTGTATAGCCAGTACAGTGTATAGACAGTACAGTGTATAGCCAGTACAGTGTATAGCCAGTACAGTGTATAGCCAGTACAGTGTATAGCCAGTACAGTGTATAGCCAGTACAGTGTATAGACAGTACATTGTATAGCCAGTACAGTGTATAGCCAGTACAGTGTATAGCCAGCACAGTGTATAGCCAGTACAGTGTATAGCCAGCACAGTGTATAGCCAGTACAGTGTATAGACAGTACAGTGTATAGCCAGCACAGTGTATAGACAGTACAGTGTATAGCCAGTACAGTGTAGACAGTACAGTGTATAGCCAGTACTTACAGTCACACCACCTCCGCTGAACACTAAATATGAATAGTAGCGTCGACTGAATATTGAACCTGTTTGAAAAGGTTGATACTGCACACTTGCACCTGCACATGTATTGTACACACACACATACACACGCACACACACACACACACACACACACACACACACACACACACACACACACACACATACACACACACACACACACACACACACACACACACACACACACACACACACACACATCATAATATGATGTATTATATACTTGGAGTACACATCACCGGATATGTACACGGAGGAATTGTTTCAATAACCTACGTACACATCACCCTATTAGCATGGTACAGCATCGTGGTGCACTGGTATGTACATGGTGACTGTACTGTTGTCTGTTGTGTATCGTATCAGACAAGAAACTACAAAGGAGAGCCTGTAGAGGCCTGGCCGGGACGTGCTGAATGTTAGGACAGGTGTTATTATCTTAACGGTCCACCTCTCCGCACTGCGCTCTTGGCCCACATTCACAACACCACTCCATAGCGAGGAAGTTCGTTCTTGGGTAGATGTTCCATATCCTCCAAACAGCTGTTTCGATCATTAAGAGCTCCTCAGTGGAGGAAGATAACAGATGAATAGCAGATAAAGGAATGAGTATATCTATAGGGTAAAGTGGTGCAATTGCGCACTTTCTACATAGAAAAGTGGCATACCCAAAAAAGTTGAAGGTGACAAAAGTTCTAAAGGTGATAACGAAACGCACAGTGCTGCTGGAACATGCATACAGATGGCACTAGACTTTAGACAAGCACGGGAAGCAGACAATCTATTAGAATCACTGCGACGAAACAGCGAAACAGCTGTCTAGAGGATACGGAACATCTACCCAAGAAGGAACTTCCTCGCTATGGAGTGGTGTTGTGAATGTGGGCCAAGAGTGCAGTGTGGAGAGGTGGACGGTTAAGATTATTTTCAAATGGCCGAGTTTGTCGCTACTTCTGAGGTGTTATTAAGATAAAATATTGCGACAGAGCTTTCGGCCATACTGCAATTTACTTCATCTCAAGATGATCCTTATCCTGAGAGATTCCTAGACTCACTGTTTTCTTCACTCTCTTTAGTCCAGGTTATCTAATCTTGTTCTTAAACCTTTCCCCCCTTTCCATCGTCATCATAACATTGGGCATGATTGCCCGTTTGACTTGTGATGTAAAAATAAAAAAACGAGAGAGCTTGGAAGCTCAGGGCCCTGCGCTATGTTTTGTTGCTTAGCTCATCGTGCATGTTGTTAGAACTGATGGAAATGTTTCCTGGGACCGGCGCTGACTCTGCCGATCGCGGGCGTTCTGGAGTCGACAGGATGTCTGTCCTGACGTTTCCTGGGACCGGCGCTGACTCTGCCAATCACGGGCATTCTGGAGTCGACGGGATCTCTCTTCCGACGTTTCCTGTGACCGGCGCTGACTCGCCCGTTCACGCTTATTTTGGAGACGACGGGATCTCTCTTCCAAAGTATGTTTTTGCTGACGCATTCTATCACCTATTCGGCAACTAACGTCCATTCTAATTATTGTATTTCCTCCTCGTCTCCCTATTTCTTTCCAGAAAGTCTCCCTATACTAGTACATCAGGGAGTCGTATACATAATACGACGAATATTGTGGCCAGCTGTTTGTGGCCAGCTGTGTTTGATGGTACGGTACGGTACGGGACAGATACGGGAGCCAGCAAATATTGTGGCCAGCTGTTTGTGGCCAGCTGTGTTTGATAGTACGATACGGTACGGGACAGATACGGCATAGCGCCAGGCGTGACACAAACAAACAAATACCAAACTAAAGCTGTGTGGACCCTGGCTAGCGCCAGACGTTACTGAAGTAACGTCTTCTGCATAGCTACGGGAATTAAGTAACGTCTTCTGCATAGCTACATAGCTACATAGCTACATAGCTACGGGAATTAAGTAACGTCTTCTGCATAGCTACATAGCTACATAGCTACATAGCTACGGGAATTAAGTAACGTCTTCTGCATAGCTACATAGCTACATAGCTACATAGCTACGGGAATTAAGTAACGTCTTCTGCATAGCTACATAGCTACATAGCTACATAGCTACGGGAATTAAGTAACGTCTTCTGCATAGCTACATAGCTACATAGCTACATAGCTACGGGAATTAAGTAACGTCTTCTGCATAGCTACATAGCTACATAGCTACATAGCTACGGGAATTAATACTATACACACTACAGGGTTCTAGCCAGGTTAAAATAGTAGAGGGGGGGGGGAACAGTAGGGGGGGGGGCATGGGAAACAGTAGGGGGGGGGGGGGCATGGGAAACAGTAGGGGGGGGGGGGGCATGGGAAACAGTTACCCTGTATCCCATTGTCCACTTTCCAATATACATGTAGTCTTGCCACGCTAAATGCAACGTATGGGCCGAATCCCCGACTTCACTCCAGACAAAGGTGCCTTTATGAACCATCTAATAGTGACTTTCGACTGTATTTTCGTTGAATTGCATGAAGAACACAAAAATCGGAAAATGAGTAAGGCCCCCCCCCCCCCCCCCCCCCCCTATTGGCTAGAACCATGCCCTAGTTATTATTTCAAGGTGAGTTTGCCCTGTATACTCCTCACAGCATGTATAGTGATGTAACATGGAAATTGTGGGCACAAGTTATAGTAATGTATTTGTGCTTCTCACAGTATGCTTAGTCATGTACATGTATCTCGTGATCCTCACCGGCAACATCTGTGTAGGTTTTACACCATACACTGTTGCAGGCATTACCAGCCCAGTACCCGACATACATACACTGTTGCAGGCATTACCAGCCCAGCACCCGACATACATACA